GTGGGGAAAGTACAAAACGGGAGTCATAATCATGTTTTGGCTGGATCAATCAAAAGCTTTTAAAAAGTCATTAAAGTTTTTTGGTTTTTTGTCTTTGGTTTCTGCGAATCCTTAATTGTGTTTGTATGCACTCTCCCATTGCGTTCTTTGTTTCTGTGTTTACTTTCTTTTTTTTTTGGTATGGGTCTAGGGGAGAGTCAATATCCTTCTTGAAGAATGTCAGTCACGCATTAAATTGTATTATGCATAGTTAATACTATATGTTGCTATATTTGGAAATTTATTTGATATGATTAATGTGCGACTTTAGTTAGAACTTAAATATGATGTGGTATAATCTAATACCATGCAAATAAAAAATGAATAGATAAAGCTTAGTATTTAATAATAGTTAGGGCCAATATCCAATTCGCCGACAAAAATGTTAAAGATTACTATAAAATTGAATTTATAATCTTACAAAAAAACATTGATAAAGCGAAACAAAATTTGGTTTGTTGCTTTATTCTATATTTCTATTATTTTTTTACTTTCACATTTTGCAACTTTGAACCTCAGAATCTCACATAACCAGGATTGCTAGTGTCTCGTCCTTGTCGTCTCGACATTTAAACACCACGTACTGACAGAAATTGATACGTGTAGCATAATGTCTTAATGGTGTATAAGTGTCAATTTTACTTGGTTACATACCTACATAAGCAAGTAACTTTTGTTGCACAAAAAAAAAAAAGCTAGTAACTTTTATATTTAATATAAAAAGAAGTAGTGATGTCAAACTAATATATATATAAAGAAGTAGTGTATAATTAGGAGTTTATTTATTTTTTCAGTATCTTATATTGTTAAGATTTTATTTTCAGATTCTACTGAAGATTATTAAAAGTTTCAAACATGTAAAAGAAAGTTTAGTAGTATTGAACCAATAGGATTAATTAAAAGTAAAACGTTGGGTGTCTAGATAAACTGCACACACCTATCTCATTTTGATCGGTGGTTGGTAATTGCCTGACTGGTGAGAGATTCCAGCCAACATAAAACCTTTGACATATATGAAAAGAAAAAATTGTGTAGCTTGCATAATGAAAAGAAAAAATTGACCCTGAAATTAAGTGCTCTTTGAAACTTGCATAATTTGACATATATGTAGCTTTAATTGTGGAGATATACTAGCTCTTAAATTCGAACGTCTTGCCAACTACTCCTAATGTTTTAGCCTTTTAGGGTATTAGCTAATACTATCACGATATTGGTATTCAGAGATATCATCCTAGCTAGCCACATGTGCTCACATTCAATGTTGTAACAGAGTCGATACATTGCTCGTTCGTTGGTTTTGGTTACGACACAAAAAAATGTGTTCCCGTTAAGCTAACCAAATGATTTTAGCTAGTGTCGTGGTGCAATTTGTACCATTGTGGTATATTTTGAATTATTGCCTCAGAAAGATATGATTACACACTATATATATGGGTAGACCAAACGGTCAAAATCTTAACGAGAGGGGATGATGTGCTTGGTGGTAAGTAAGATGTGTGGTTCAAAATAATCGTGAAAGGTTGGCAAAATTAGTTATATGTCACAATCAATTTCGAGAATAATACATTTAAAACGCAATACACGGTACATGCCTACTAATAACTCAAGAAGTTTTTGATAAACTCACGTGAATTCTTTTACATAATTGGTTTTTTTTTTTTTTTGTCATCTGATTTTTATTAAAACTTTAAGATAGGATACAAGGTGAAATACTTAAGCCGGCGGAAAACAAAAATATCCCCGGAGTCTAAAGCCCAAAAAAGGGAAGTTAAGCCGGCGGACAAAGGAAAAGTCCCCAGAGACAAAGTCGGAGAAAAAAGAGAATTCCCTCAAATCTAAGTCTACGCTAAAACAACATAAACTTTTAAAGCCGAAATCGAAAGAGAACGAAACCAAAAACTAAGAAAAGAGGCAAACTAAAAATAAACAAGAAGATAAACACTAAGTCAAAATAACCAAATCGATCTTCTTCTTCTGAAGTTTCTGCGAATGAGCTATATCAATGCTGCCCAAGGCCGCTGCCCAAGGCCAACCATTAATCACAACTGCTTCCTCCTATCACAATGAGAGAAGATCTCTCGAAACCAAGTAACAATGACTTCATAATCTGACAAGTAAAGGTCCAAATAGATCCTCATTAAACACTTCCAGATGCGGCAGCGACGAGGGTGCGTCAAGGAACGCCTTGATAGAAGTCATAAAGATGCAATCCGACATCCTCCAGATTCGGAAACGCAGAGACAAGGAGCGAAACATAACCACCTCGATGAGCTTCGAAATCAAGAACAAAAACGACACTCATCTACAACGGATATCATCACCAGAAACTTCCACCTAAGAGAAGAAAGATCTGAAGCCAAACGACACTAGCATAAACTTCACACAACAAAGGCCTCATCTTAGAAAGGAGACGAACCAAACGAGCAACTATTAGCTAAACCAGGCATTAAGGGTGAGCGGAGAGGCTAAGGCAAGATGGAAGCTAACTACAGAGCTCACACAAGCCAAGCACGCGACAACAAAACACCATGAAGCACAAGAGCGAGTAACAGATCTGGATTAGGGGAAGGCGAAAAACAATGGCTTTATTACATACCCGTCACCGTCGATCTCAGATCCGGCTCCATCATCTTCGCAAGAGCCCTGAACCACAAATCTGAAACACTCAAACCGCTTCCGACAAACACCCAAAATCACAAACCGATCAAACTAAATCGAAACCCCAATCGAAGGCCACAAGATTCTTAAACTTAACACAAAACTAAAACCAAGAAAGGAAAGAACAAAAGGAGGACCGAAGCCGGTGCTAGAGGAGCCACCGTACTCCGGTCACCGATCTGGGCAAACTTGTAAACTTGAGTGAGCGGCGGCTAGGTCTAGTCCCAAAAAAAAAAAACGAATCTTTTACATAATTGTTTAAAGATATGAAATTTTTGGTGTTGTACTTTATAAAAAAAGGAAAATATGGTGTTATATAAAAAAAGGAAAATATGTTGAAAAAAAAAGAAAAAGGAAAAGGCCTGGACGTTCGGTTATCGGATCGGATTCGGTTCGGTTTTTTCGGATTTCGGTTTTTTGGATATAGATTCTAATATCCATAGGGATAATTATAGAATTCGGATCGGTTTCGGTTTGGATATTTTGGATTTCGGATCGGTATGGATATGATATTCAATATTGAATCCGATTTAACCATAAATCTAAAAAAAATTCGATTAATCCGAAAACCGCAATGAATCCCAAAAAGAACAAAAGCGACCTCCATTAGTAGCAAGCTAATCCGTAAAACCGTAAACAGAAACTTATCAAAGCAACAATAAACATCAAAATTCTCAGAATCTATCATGAACACATAGAAGAAAAACGGATCAAACAGTAACAAACAATAATCGAATTCGTCTCTAATGAAGAATAAGAATCATAGAACATAGAGACATGGATGATAACTAAGAAAGATGAAGAATTTAAGTTCAAACACATACCCAAGATCGATTACTTGATGTTTTTTATGGATGCGACTGAAACGAAAGAGAGATTAGGGATTCCATATTGAAAGATTAAGGTTTTATGCTTATATGCAAGAGAAGTGGATCCCGTATTGGTAGGAAAATCGAGATTAGGGAAGTGGATCACGTATTGCTAGGGAGGGAAATCGAGATAAGAAAAATGGATCCCGTGATGCAAGGGACGACTAAGGTTCTAGAACTTCTAGAGGAGAGTTCGGATACCCATCGGATATCGGATCGGATCGGGTATTATCCGATATCCATGGATATAGAAATCAATAACCGATCGGTTAATCGGTCGGATTCGGTTCGGATTTTAATCCTATTTTTTCGATTCGGTTCCGGTTCAGATTTTCGGTTTCGGATTAAACGCCGAGGCCTTACATTAGAGTATAATGTGACAAATTTGTTTATTTTCAACTTTTTTAGGTATATGAGTTGAATCAGTATTTTTACTCAAAAATTTAATACAAATGCGTCAATATAAAAAAAATGATCTAGCCAAATATCAAAATGTAAATGTGGTAGACTTATAAAAATGAGAAATTAATTGTTTAAGAATTGAATAAAAGTATGTCTTATTAGATTTTTTCATATTTTCTAAATTAAAAACTCAAAACAAATTTAGTGATTTGACAAAGATGATCGTATTCATATGTATAACTGAATGAAACTAATTTCGAGAGATTTAAGTTTTAAGATATTTCTTTTCGACAACACTAATGGAGGGGAGAATGAGATGATGATGATGATTTAAAATCACCATCAAATTCTTCATCAGTCGACAATGTTAGATCATATACATAGCAGATTTTTTATAGGTATCAGAAGCCCAAAAATATTAAATTTATGGGTAAAATAACTGATTTGGGCCTGAGCAGTATCACTGGAATGATACTTGTGATACCAGTCTCTGATGATGTGGCTGCTCGAGATTAGTCGGGAAAACGCGTTTTTATGGGAAAGGAGAGAATTTTTTATTATTATTGTAATATTATTACCTTTTGTAATCCCATGTTTTAATATATTAATTTTTTATTTTGCAATTTTTTTTTTAATAATACTTAAACCGGTCTCACCAATGCAAACATATTTATTAGGAGTATCATAAAAAAATCTCAAACAATAAACAAACATTATAAATAATATTAAAAATTTCCTAATGATACTATATCACCTATAATCATGCTCTAATTATCTCACAAATTTTTGCAAATATCATTTATATAACCTTTGTATAATTCCTAAATTGTTCAAACCATAGACATTCAAAATAGACAATAATCAAAATCTTACTCCCTTCTTCTACACACAGTTTGGGTACACCTTAAACTTAAATATATTTATTGGGCCACAAACGAATACTTATTTCAGCCCATATCATTTTTATTAATTGACATTTGGACCCCAAAGAATTTCATTTTTTTATTAAAATTTTCACATTACACAAAGAACTGAAAAAAGTCAGTTAATTTTTAACATTAATTTCTAAATCCGACCCCGTACTTTTTATTCAATCGTTTTCATACCCATCCCTTCAAAGGAAGGATAAGAAGATTATAGAAACAGTTAAATATATTAACCGTTAAATAACTGACGATTCCGGTAACTTTTCCGTTTTAATTAATTCTCTCAAAACTCTAGCCGGAGAAGTCGCCGGAGATCTTGAGACGCCGAGTCATCAACGGAAACGACAACAATCTGACTTTTCGCATTCTTCCTCGAAAACGACGGCAAAGGTAACGAGCTCGGCGCCGGAGAAACAACGAAAATGGATGATCCAGCATAAATATCGTCGGCAGAAACCTCCGGTGAATACTTCCGAACTTTGATGTTTGAAAATGAATCGAAAGACTCTCCTCTTCTCCTAACAACGTTCTTCGTCATCGTTCTGAATTCATCAGAACCGAATCTTCTCCTTTGGGCAGGTCGGAGAGGTGGTTTCCGGTGAAAATGATTCTTCCGGGAGTTAAAAAGTGTTGCCGGAGAATCTCTCATCCGGTCAACCAAACAATTTTGAGGCCGGATAATTTCAGTTCCCATCTTTAAAGAGAAACAATAAATCTAGAAAAAATGGCGCCGGAGGAGAACCTTCGGCGGCTAATAAAAAAAGAAGAAATCGTGGTGGTGGAAGAAGAGAAGGAAGAAGAAAAGGGTAAAATAGTCCTTTTCTTCGGTTCCTGCTCAGATTTTTGTAAATTAGTTAAAATCTACGGATAATCTACTTTGTGAGTTTTTTTTCCTCGTTACTGGAGAATTGGAATAAATAGAAGAAATTAGAAGAGATGACAAAAATGGAGAAAATGGCTTCTCTGTCAGAGCTTCGTTTCCTCGTAACGACGCATCTGTAACCTAAACACATTATTCTATTTTTTTCTTTTTGTTTAATTTAGTTTTGTTTCGTCTGTCCGTTTTTTCGTTTTTTAAAATTGGATTTTCGTCTATTCTAAATTTTACCAATTTGATATAATGTTTCTCTATGGGATTGATTAAACAAAATATTGAACTATATTGTCATGTTTTAAATGAGAACTATATACAGTATGAGTTAATTCCAATGACGAATCTTTTTCCTTCGACGATGGAAACAAGTGGTTGCTTCCAACGCAAGAAACTAAATAGCCCGATGTTTAGTTTGAGTTGTTGGTAGTTATCAAGATTGATGTTGTTTATAGAAGCAAGCACGAGTGGCTTGGGAAGACGTTGTTTTCGTCTGCCTTTGTCTCTTCTGGCCACGAAGACCATATCAAATCACACAAGGGTTTACCAGACTATCGAGTGAGATTGAAGAGATCGCACCCTCGGTTGGCTAGGGATCCTCGGAGGAAGATAGTGTTATCAGGATGTTTCTTGGTTACCTGATGAAGAACACGAATAAGTGGCCGCGTTGTAGAAGAAGATGGGTGTGGAATGCGTGACAATGCTTCACGAACGCAAGGGCGAGGAGTTTAATGACAAGGTTATTCTTAAGATCTTTGAACTAGTCAAGTCTCGGGTCGATTTCCAGTGAACCTGATTCGCATGTATGAGTCTTGATTTTAACCTGTTTGTTTGCTTTATATCAAGAAATAAAGAAAGTGTTTATTGTGTGAAAGAGAGATTAGATTGAAACAATCAAGTAATAAAATTAGACAAGAAAGTATTCAGACAAGAGCGCGGTTGATATTACACCGATTAAAGACAAGACTGATGCAAAATCTGCAAACTTATTCGATGAGCCAGAGAAGAAGTAGATCTTGTGGCTACTGCTCTCTCCTCTGAAGCCTCTAACAATCATGGCCTGCACATAAATACAATACACATAAATCTTCAACAGAGAGTTCCTATTTGATTCTCAAATCAATGAGATAATAACTGAAATCTATTTGACCTGTGATATTTGCTCGGCATGTCGAAATATATTCTTGAAAATGCGGCGTATGAATGACGCGAAAACTACAAAAAGCGATCACTTGTAAGTTGAGTTTCGGAAAGACTGAGAAAACCAGGAGATGTATATAGAAATAGAGATTCTTACTATCAAGTGTCTCCAGAACAGTAAGCTGCTGCCAGTTTACTCTTCGGGATACAATTCCCAATGAAACACTTCGGACCTACAATGTAACATGCACACAATGTACCATTATGAGGTTTAGAACTTGGAACAACTAGGCTGATTGATAACATAAATGTGAAGCCGGGAGATGTTGTTTATAGATCTTTACCTCATCGAAAACCAAATTAATGAATCTCAGTGAAAGCAGTAGCGTGAGGATAATTTCACCGACTGGAACACCAATATATGTCAACGGGAACAAGAACCAACGTAGAGCTAGTGCAAGTTGTTCTGGTGTTGTGGTTGCAAGGCAAATACTAGCACTTTGGAAGATCTGTGACAAAAAGCCAATTAATCTATTATGTGATCTAATAAGGCAAAAAAAGGAGAAACCGTGGAAGTCGAAAACCGACTTACAATAAAGGTTAAGCATGCGGCTGTACTTCCAACAGACAAACCTTTCCTTGTGAATTGCAACGGACCAAGCTTAAGTAACATGTACGAATAACCGCTCAAAGACATGGGAAGATTAGGCAAGCTTGTGATTGAAGAAGGTGGGGTTCTTGATTGAAGCATTGGAGGTGCACCATCTGAACCTAGCCCCAATGTTATGAAGAGAATTCCCGAAAGAAGCGACACTCTCGCCAATTGATCCTTACATGACAAAGTTAGGAAAATCAACGAAGAAGATAGATCACAAGACAGCAACCAAAGAGAAGAAGAAGAACTTGTAATTACAAGAAGTTGGAAACGCATTGATCATACTAATTCAAGAACTGCATATACATGAGAACAATCCAACATAACTAAATCGTATAGAAACAGAGTTGTGACAGAGAAAAAGAACTCACCATCCATACTTGTCTAGGGAGGACAAGGATTGACAAAAGAGCTGTGCATACAACAAGTCCTAAACGCACAACTATATTTGCTCTTGCTGGAAGAACAACTAGAGTTAATAGCCATACCTGCACATATATACAAATACCAAAATTCAAGCTTTGACAAGAATCAAGAATCAAGATTGCTCTAACCAAAAAAAAAGACTCATTATACCAATTTGATTCTCGGATCCACCGAATGGAGAAATGTAACAGGGGACGATATGAATTGTCCAATGGGACTTCCCGTCGCGCTTGAAATCAATCTAAAGACATTTTCGGCTCCGAGTCCTGGAATTGGTAACCGGTTCACCCAATTACTGGTTTTTCCGTCTCCGTCGACGGTGGCTCTAACCACGAAAACCCTTTTCGAGGTGAGAGAGGACGGAGTCTCATTAAGCCGGAGCGGGAAGAAAAGCTTAGGGTTTGCAAAATTCCGGTTCCGGTTATGAATTGGAGCTGTGAGATGACGAATTGGGTGTTTGGGGATTAGGGTTACGGTGAGGGAGAGACTTGGTGTTGCAAGATTGGATTGATTCATGAGTTTCGATTTCAGATCGAATCCGACATATGCCCTAGAGCGGGAAATTAATTGTACGTGGTAGAGAGACACTGTAAGTGTTAAACTGTTGCGTGTGTTTTGTCAGACGTTGACTTTGGTTCTCGCAATAACAAAAGTCAAAATATACCAAAATTTTGGATTCCGTTTCTTGTTCGAATTTGATTGATATATAGACTCGCTTTGAATTTTCTTACATACTTTTTGTATAAATCTTTTTTTCTTTTTTTGATAATTGAAAACGTAACTTATATTTCAATAAGGGCACAATCTAATATTTATAAAACAAATAACATAGAATAAGTATCAAAAATCAACAATACCGAAAGGATGATTGAAGAACGAAGATTCACGGTGGTAAACAGAGTCGAGAACGTTGATGATCTCTCTCCTTAACTCAAAAATCGCCCCGTAGTGTGCCGGTTTGATGACAATTAGAGTCCCATGATAAAACTGTTTCTCCTTTTGATTGCATACCTCAAATCAAAAGCTAATCGAACACTAGCCTTATGTTGTACTCTCAGACTCGAACTAGAAAAGAGAAGAAGAGGAAGGAGATTATGTTGGTGAACGATGCTTAGAATGAGAGACAATGACCATGACTTTATAGCACAAGAGCTCCACGTCCATGGCATCAAAGAGGAGAATATATCACCTTAATGACACAATCAAGAGACTTAAATCTCACGATAAAGTCAAAAACGTTTTTGACACTAATTGTCTCAATTGATTACACACAATCATTAAGGTAGATATTTTTGATTTAATCACTAATTTAAATCAAAATAAATTTGGGAAAATAAAATAATTATATGGGTTGTAAGCCTATTTCCCAAATTTCAAATCTCAAATCCAACCCATGTATGTTTGGATTTCTCCTCTAACTTCCAAAGTATACAATTTTGACTTTAAGTCAAAATTCCAAGCTAAGCAAGCAAGTTACTTTGGACCTCCATTTCTCATTCAAACGAACTCCGTTTTTGACATTCCAATACACCATCACGTAGTGCTCGCAGCAACGATTCCATCGTTCCCAAGAACCGGTCATTCCGATGAACGTCTTCACCGGAAAATCCACCGTAACAATGGTCAAAACCATTTTGTCAAAAACAAGTTCCAACAAGTATATTACTGTCTCGGAGCATTTTTGACAATTTTTGAGGTGATGGAAAAAGTTGGCTCGAGAGCTTTTTGAATATTCCAGGCGGTTCGGCCCAAACTGCCCGTTGTTTCTAGTATTTTTCCGGTGGCTTTCCCGGCTTTCTCTCCAACACTGTGGTACCGTCATCACAAAAATGTATAAATTGTAAAATGGGATGGTCATGTAACTTATCATATATCTATACAATCCCAAACAAATTAAAATGCTAACTAAAAATCATTAGTTAGCAAATTGGTAGTATATAGATTGTATGTACTAAAAATCATTAGTTAACTAAAAATCTACAAGAACATATCTCATTAGAAATGTGGGATCCTACCAACTCGATTTTATTTTCTACGGATATAATCATTATTTTGATTCAAATACCGGTGTGTTACGTATTACATAGAAACATTATTCAATCTCAAAATTGAGGATCACAAAGTGAAATTTTTACCTCTTACTCACAAGTCGAGTAACAGCCATGGATGTGGCAGAATGAGTTTGTATCTCTGCCGCTTCAGCAGCACCAATTATATTATCTATTGATCACATCAAACTTTTTCTCTCTTTTATTTATTAAAATTTTGATCCCAAAAACTTCAAAATAAATGAAGAAGAGTATAGACTGACAATTAGTGGAGCTATTCTATGTAACTTACGAAAAGAATCAAGTGATGCCAAGATAAGCTCTCCTGGAGCAGTGGATAACAATGCCTTTCCTAACCTCGATTTAACCACCGGAGCTACCATCCAACCGCTCACCATATCTTCACCTTCTATGACCGCCATTCCTATAGCCTCGCTCACCTTCCACAACTTCTCCGCTCTATGTATATGTTACATCCAACAAAATAACCAAGATTTTATTGTTTGATATAATATATACAACTTTGCGGGATAGAGATTAAAATTTGATTACCTTTGAAGATTTTTGTTGTGTTTATTCTCCTTCTTAGTTTCATTGTTGTCACCTCCACCAATTTCTGATATGTCACCACTTCTTTCCTCAACCTCTTCAGCAATCGTTCCTCCCTTGCGAATCTGTTTTTATTACAAGAAAATAAAACCATATTGTTATTATAATAAATAAAAATTACAATATGTGCGTCTTAAATCTCCATGTTCATATAATAGTTTTTAAAAATCCAACACAAAACTAAGATGATCTATACTAGTAAATAAAACACATTAGTCTTTCCACAAATTGGGTTTGAATTGAAAGTTCATGATTCTTCACTATAACAACCATTTCGATTCAAATCAAAATCAACTAATATTAACACTCATAAGCATCATGAGAGGGACTTATATGTATGAGACCTTCTTAGAGTAAGAATTGCTACAAGTGAAGATTCCCTTGATGATATGCCCTGTTCCTTCGGCGATGGCCTTGGCTACAACGCTTTTGTATTCTTCAGCCTTCGGTGCATACTCTTTCCAATCAATTTCATTGTTGTTCATACCTGAAGCACTTGAAGATTTCTCCCACATGAAATCTCCTAGAAACTCAGGGTTTTCCATGATTTCTCCGTCTCCCCCTAAGAAACTCAAGGCTAGCTCCAACGGTTCGGGTTTATCGACGAGATGGACTCTGTCATTGGGATTCTCCAACAAGACTTCCTCGTTCACCTTTTGGGGAGATTGGTTTTGTTGGGTTGGTGAGGACATTGTGTCTTCTTTCTTAGTGCAGTAGTAAATTTAAGTTTGGTTTATAGGCTCGTTCCTATATAATGTTGGACGATCGAAGGTAATGACGTAAACACTTACTATTTGATCATATTAATAACCAACAAACATGTAAGACCATAAAATATGATCATATAGCTTGATAGTGAAGAATTAGTTAATTTTTCTAGTTGTAACTAGTCTTCTATTGAAAGTTGAAACAACTTGCTAGTTACAAGTAGAACAACTTACTAATTCTTCACTATCAAGATTCTCAGTACCAATATAATTGATACCAAGACTTCATCAGTTGCTTGTTTAACTGGTTTTAGAAGGGTTTACATTGGTGTTTGGTGATATCATTCTCCTAATGTATGTTATACATAATCCCAAGCGTGTTGTTCTTCTTTGATAATTTCCCCCACCATTGAGTTTTATATGTTTTGTTTCAAAGTTGACAAATAGAATTAGTTCTACGCAATCAAATCGTTAATATTATTTCTAACGACATTAACAGATTGATACGTAATTAGGAAGAGGGCGTCAAATAAAAATTAATTTTGTTTTGCAATTGATTAATTACACTAGTTTTGACATGTAATCAGTTGTATTAGTTCTCCTATAAATTATTAAAAAAATGGATTTGAACTCAGGTTTTAATAAATGTTGAGAAATCTAACTACTAATGTGCTACTTATTGTTCAAAAACTTAGCAAAAATGCCACAAAACATAAATCTTTCTAAATGTGCCATAATGGTGGACAACAATTCTTGTCTACCAAAATTTCTGTATGTCGTATCGAATTCTTGTCCACCAAAAGTCTATTGTTTCAAAGGTGGACAACATTTTTTGTCTACCAAAAAATTTCTTTTCAAAGTCTAGTCCACTATTATGGCACATTTGGAAAGACAAACGTTTTGTGGCAATTCTTGTAAGTTTTGATACAATATATGACACATTAGACCAAAATCCCATAAATGTTATAACCTGAGAAATCTAACTAATGTGCTACTTACTGTTCAAAAACTTATCATAAATTAATCAATCCAGTCATTGTCATAAAACTTGACAGACTTTGTAGAGCTTATGATATTTTGAGTAACCCAATAATACATTATATATTACACACTATAGCTGATGAGTCCACATTATGTAGTATATAAAAACTGAGCTTGGGTTTTGGGTTTTCCATCGATCATACATTGATAAAGTAGTTGAAACTATAAGACACAATATATCACTTTCTTGGAGCATTCTTGACGACCCCGGATGTGAGAGAAGATGAAGGATAGAAAGTCTTGCGGATCTTGAGAACATTCCAGGCAGTTCCAGCCGCGTGGCCCGCTGTTGCTAGAACGTCTCCCGTCGCCTCCCCTGCGTTCTCTCCAAACCTGCTTTGCCAAATATGTCCTTATGATCAGATTATTATCACCTTAAGACTCTTAAATTGTGTAATGATCACTAGTGGCTTATCATGAAAACATGAATCTCAAATTTGAAGATTGTAAGGTGAAAATATTTACCTCTCACTGACCATTCTGGTAGCAGCCCTGGATGTAGCAGATAGAGTTTGTCTCTCCGCGGCTTCAGTTGCATCTAGTATTTTATCTATTGGACAAAACCAAACATTACACCATTAAGTTTTTTTCACCCTAACTTTGATTTGTTCCATTTTTTTACTCCAAAAATCAATTCCTTATATGTAACTTACTAAGGGCGTCAAGTGAAGCCAAGAGGACTTCCCCTGGAACCATTGAGAAGAAGGCCATCCCCGGTTTCGACTTCATCACAGGGACCATCACAGAGCCGCTCACAACTCCCGCACCATTCAACATCGTCCTGCTCAGATTCTCAGTCGCCTTTGACAGCTTCCTCACTCTATATACATGTTACATCCATCCAACAAATACAAATTAAAGCAGCCAAGATATCAAAAGATTCAAGAACCACGATTTATGTCTTGATTCTTTGTTTGCGTTGAGTGGTATATTTTTCCTTTACATAAACGCCAAATACAAACAATGTTATAAAACTAAGGAGCGAGTACCGTTGAAGGTTTGTGTTGATTCCATTTTTCTTCTCATTACCACTGGAGTTTCCATTATTGTAACCTCCATTTCTCTGACTCTCCTCAGCCTTTGTAATCATTATGTCACCTCCCTTGTGAACCTGTTGTCTCATAAAACACATAATCATATTATGTTCATATTATCATCTCTCGTTCTGTAGAGCCTCTAATTATATAGGAGAGTGTGATTTAAACCTGGTTAGAGTAAGCATTACTGAGACTAAAGATTCCTCTAATGATATGCCCTGTTCCTCCAGCAATAGCCTTAGCAACAACGTTGTTATAGTCTTCAATCCTCGGTGCAAACTCTTGCCAGTCGATTCCATTGTTAACCTTACTCGAAGCCGTAGACGAGAAACAAGAATTCTCACTCAAAAATTGGTCTAGCAACTTCAGACTGTTCACGAGGGCTACGTCTCTGTCATCGCCGGAGAAAGTGACCCCGTAGCTAAGTGGATCACCGTCTTTAACCGGAAGTGTGAAGAGGTAGTCACGTGCGTCGAGTTTCACCACTGGCTCGTCTCTAATCACTGGCCACTGAAGGTCATGTCCGATTCTTACAATCATAGCTAGAGTCACACCGTTGTCTGAGACCTTAACGAGCTTGAAATCACCGGAAGCAAGCTCCACGGCTTCAGACTCGTCGATGAGATGGACTCTACATCTAGGAATCTGCAACAGAACTTCTTCAGTTCTCATGGTTTGAGGTTGAGGAGATGGGTTTTGTCGTGTCATCGTTTCTTTTTCATGGTTTCTTGTTCTTGAAGTCTTTGATGGTCCGAAACATCCCATTTTCTTGTCTGCTTGTTTTTTTTTTTGTTTGACAGTGATGCTCTCCTCTAAGAGGCTTTGTAATCTTGAAACAGAGGATGAGATTATTAAAAATCTTTCTTGGAATATTTGTAACTTTAACTCATATATTCTTTCAAGTGAATAAATTCTTGCTTCCACAGTTATCTTCACTTTCGGTGGAAATGGGAACAAATACTTTACGACGTTACACACATCTACACGTATACACATATACATTACACGTGTATTTTTAATGCATGTTCTATGGGATTGGAACCTACTTATGTAAGCAGTCTTATGTCCTGATCGTGAAAAGAATTAGGACTCGGTTGTTCTGTGAAAGAACTTGGATACAAGACAATGACCAGTGTGAACCTAATCATGGTGGTCCTGAATATAGTAGAAGCCGACTTTAGTAAATTGACAACTTTGTTCTTTTCGTAAATGTTATCCAAATGTGAGATCATGTCAACCTTTTTAACAACTTCTTTTAATTGGACACTCGAAAGGAGAGTTTAAACCAATAGACACTAAAGGCAAAAGAAGCAGAATATGAAACACAGAAATCTGAATTGGAATCTGATTCTACAATTGCAATGGCAGTCATTAACGAATAATATCCAATACAGATCTACGAATTAGTTAAGCTGTCTCCAAAGTTTCACTAGCTTCGTATTTTCTATCAATAATGGTATCAATATGTGCTTTTAGGCCACAAAACTTCTTGTGGTCTAGTGGTAATAGATATGGTTTTGCATGATGATGATCATGATTATGAGGAAGAGGAAATAGAGAGATTACATATATAGAGAGAAAGAGAATTTTGAGAAGGAGTAAGCTTAAACAATGACAGGTCTAACTATGATCTATATATTACACAGATTTAACAATTTCCATTTACTCCAATAATCTAGCGTCACTTGATATCGCTGAATCTATTTAGTACCTGAAGGGTCTACGATTTCAAAAGAATTTTGGGATTTGTTCTTTGTGTAGAGAGACTAGCTTGTGCTCCTCATTAAATAAGCTACCACGCATCCTAATATCCCACCTGCTGCAACCTGTATTTCAATCTCATTACTTAGCAATAGATTGTAACATCCTCTCGTTTATACATGGCGAATATGGGGGCTTCGGTTCTAATGTTTCAGCTTTATGAAATCCAAATCTAATTCTAACATTGCGATGACACAGTCATTGGACTTAAAACGTTTAATGATTGCAAGGATAAAGAGAATTGACTGCTGAGTTCAAAAACCTGGATAGGAGTGTGGCCAAGCAGTTCACGCAATGGTCTAACTGTTGATAATGGATGCTCCGGAGGAAACTCACAAACAATTTGATTCAGCAGCTGAAATTTCCATTCATGTGAAAAAGGCTTGCGGTTTTAGAAAGCATGGAACAATCCTACAAAAGAGCTTTAAAAGAAGATGCAAACAGATGAGATTAATAAATTTTCTATGGCTTTACCTCGGCTTGACGACCAGCATGAAGTCTGACACCGGAGGCATCATACATAACCTGCAGCCCAATTCAGAAACATACAAAAGATTGGTCTTACTATGTAATCAAGTAGGCTGTTCACAAGGAAAGCAAAATCTCTTTTCTACACTAAACGAAGCAAGGCTGTTACTTTGTAAATTCAACACATGTAAACTTAAGCGAAGTAAGACGTTCAAAGGAATGGCACAACTACACATTGTGAAGTGGGAAACAAGGTGAGAAGAAAACTCACAACGCAAGCTAAGACAACCGCGATAGCGAAAGCTGGTGCTCCTGCTCCTTCTTCAAGGCCAATGGCAACAGCTAAGGCAGTGACAGTAGCGGAATGCGAAGAAGGCATTCCACCAGAACTAATCATACGTTTAGAGTCCCACTTCTTTTCTTTGTACCTGAACATCTAACATACATTATGAAACAACTGAGAATTCACATCTTTCAATCCATCAAAGAATCTTTTAAGCTCTGCAACGATCTAAGAATCTTAACTACAACAGATCTATAGCTACACAAATACCAACAAACAAGTTCTGAGACCAAAAATTTGGCTAATATCAAAAACACAAAAGGGTAATGAAAAAGTTTGCAAATTCTAATCAATCGATCAAAAAACAAAACCTAAGACTACGAAATTTGTTAAATTGGAGCAAAAAGCAACTCGATTTCAATCACAGATGGAACCAATCTGAGAAACGAAGGAGGTAAAAGATTTGAACGGACCAATTAGTGAAAACTTTGAGGAACTGAGCAAGAGCGAAGGCAAGAAAAGCGGAGAAGATTGGGAGATTATGAGGAAACAGATTTTGCGACGGAGGAGATCCGTACAACGCCCTATTTCCGCCACCTAACGAACCGGCGTCCGCCGCTGTCATCACCTCGTCCATTCGGCGATACAACCGCGAAAAATCCCGATCTCTTCTTTGATCAAATCAGATAGATACTGCGAAGGATCAATGTCAACGTAAAGGTAAAGAGAGATTCAGGAGAAGAAGAAGAGTATTGAAATTTTTTTGATAAGCTTTTTGGCTTTTTGTGTTAATTCCGTATTTGGGAAGGATCAATTATTTGTGAAAAGGAAAGCAGTTTTACCTTTTTAATTACCTTTTTTACGTTTTTTTTTTAATAATTTCGAAAGTACGGTGTATTTTTTACATTGTTATATTTTTGTCAAATTTTTTATTTTTTCGTCAAAACACTATATTTTATTAAATTATCGGACAAAAATTTATTTTCGAGAGAACTAATCCAAAACTGATGTGTTAATGTGAGACAATAGAACCTCGTGTTCTTGTTTTTTTTTTGTTAGGCAATCGGTACAGATATTATTAGTACGCGGGTTAAATCAAATATAGAAGGATGGAAAAATAAAGCTTTAAAAGCTTAAAGAATTGAAATGTCACTCTCAAGAATTATCTAAAATAATTATTAGCTCAAAGCAACATGAGGCGAAACCAATATTCGTCTTCGAAACCATAATGAGGTACTCCGCCGCCGAAAACTTTTCAATCCCATAAAAGGAGATAGTCTCCGGCTTCCGCCGAAAACTTTTCAATCCCATAAGAAGAAGTGTATCATTATCCATAACAATTCACCCATGTCCACGGAAGGGATCGGGTCAAAATAAGTTATCTAATAACTTATTTGATTTATGTTAGATCATTTTGATTTAGAACTTTACTTACTCTCGAAAATTTCTCATAAAGATTTTGTAATGCCCTTTCAGAGCCTAATATCAATTCTTCATCTATACAATAATCGCCTGACATTTTGTTGTTGATATTAATAAAAAACCAACATAAACTTGGAAAACTTCTTCTATTACCTAAGAAGATAAAATCAACGTTCATGAAAAATCATAATAAAGCTCATCAACACTTTTCTCTAATAGTAGTATTACTATGTAAAGGTTTCAGCAGAGCCGCTATGCAGCCTTCTCGAGCCACGTTTAGTCGCCACTAAATCCGGCGTCCGATCCGGATGTGGCTCTTCTACAACCATCTCATTCGCCAGATTATCAGCAGCCTTAAACACCGGATGTGCATACGCGTTTTGAAGAAACGTTTTCAAGTTTAAATTCGGTTCTCTCATGCGTTCCAACGTATCTTTAACCATTGCATCCTGAAAAGAAGAAGAAAATCACTAAAGAAGACCAAAAACAAAAGCAATGGAAGACTCATTTCCTGATAGAGTAGAAGAGACTATAAACCTGTAAAGGGTATCTGACAAAGATAGGTTGGTAACGTCCTTGACAGAATTTGTGGAATCCAATGGTTAACACAGGCAGTATGAATAGCAATGGAGTCGAACGAGCAGCTCGTTTCGTGCTTAGCAATCCCATCAAAAGAAGCTGAGATACGATTAGTGCAATCACTACACGTCTATGAACATCAGGCCAGAACGCGGCAGCACTCTCATACTCTTGGTTATACACATTTATAACCTGCAACAAGAAGAAAAGAAGCGGGTTAGATCTTAGCTTCTTAAGCTTGGGGCATAATTATCAGAAAGCAGAGGCTTTTGGATTTGGGTTTTGAACCTGATGACGGTAAACCACATAAGCTAAGGCGAAGAAGACGAGGATAAATGGAAGGAGAATGGGGCTAACAGCGGCGTAAACTAGACCGAGAATGAAGTAGAGTTGTATCTGTGGTTCACCAGTATTGAATCCTATGGTTCCAGGATCCATTGCCTCTTCTCTATCTTTCTCTGTTTTCACAAGGAAGAAGTTCTTGAGATGATAGATTATCAATGGTTTCAACCTCAGTATCTCTCCAGCAACACCAGCCCATCCGTCCACCATTATGTAGGTTATAAAGAAAGTGGCCTTCATTGGTATCGACACACCAATTGTCTTTGGGATTTCGGTTGCAGATTGGTTTAGGAAGCTGTTAAGCTGTTGAAGCGCAGTCCCCGCGATTATGCTACAGAGGAAAACGTTGATGAACTGGAACATGTAGTATCTGCTTGCACACCTTCTTTCTAGTGAAGATTTACTTATGAAGCCTTCGAATTTCGACATTAGCATAAGTATGCTTGGGAGGACAATGAGGAATATCTTCAATGCGATACCCGGAAGGAAACCTTGGATGAATGACTTTACCGTTTTCCTGTCCACAAACACAATGATTTCAGAGAAACACCATCACGCAAAGGAAATGAAAATTAAGGTTGAGAGATTATACACTTCGATAAGCGGTTTCAAGAATGGAACAGCCTTTTCGATGCCTTCAATGTTGGCGAGTGTCTGCACGAAAGCTATAGGGATCATGAAGAAGAAAGTGAGGAAGAAGAAAGCCACAGCTATTACTAGTCTTCGGATTGTGAGTTGAACATATGGTAATGCTAGATTGTCCCAGTATATGTCTCGGGGCTCTGGAGCCCACTCGGTTAGCCACTCTGTCGGGTTTCTTGACTGTTGAGTTTGAGAGCAAACAACTGCGCCCCAACGCCTTTTGAAGGATACAAAAGCTGCAGGCACAAGCGATTTTGTGCTGCTCATCACAGTCTCCTTCTCTTCACTTATCTGAAACCATCAAAGTAAATTTTGATTAAGAGGCAACAAGATGATCAAACAAGTTTAATAACACAAGATTATATGTAAGTTAGGGATGACGCATTTACTTTTCTCGTTAGACCCTCGATTTTTTCTATGTAGTGATCGATTGCATCAACTTCTTCACCCCAACAGCCGAGAAAACCTATCTGCTCAGGTAAGTAGAAGATTATCAAGATTCAACCAAAGAGAAGATCAAGAAAGCAATGTAGTTGCATATATTGGTTTTACCTTTATTAAAGGCCTTTTAGTCGGATTCCTAGAGTGTTTGTTTTGATAGTAATCAAGCCAATTCTGCAATTTTTTCCTCTTCTGAACCAATTCAGACAGTTTGTTTGCGTTGTAGACCGCCTGTTTTGTTAAACAAGAAGATAAATACACCGTAAAAAATGGATCACCCTAAGTGAGACAACCAAAGTTGTTACCTGGTAAGTGAGGTAGTAGTCTGGATGGTTGACCTTAAAGAAATGCTCAACAAGTTCACTAACGGATTCATCAGGATCTGGAGGAATGTTCCTCACAAGAACCTACATTCATCAAAAAAGACAAATCACATATGACATTTGAATCTAGAAAACTAAAACTCAATGGACCAAGAGATTCAGAATTTCTCAGAATTTCTATGTACTGTAAACTGGTCAGGTCTCCTTTGCTCAGAAGCAAGAAACTGTAGCCTCATGGAACCAATATTCTTGTACTCTCGTTGTAAAACAAAGCATGTCCAGAAGGTAATAACATAAGCCATACACAAATGCACCCAAAACCTGTACATATACAACAAGTCAGAACATTCCCCAAATAGAACCAAAAGCCACAAAGATTAAAGAAGTTTCTTCACCTGGATGATCCAGTTGGTATATTCGATATAGAGAGTTTATCGATATCGCTGAAAGTTAGATTCTTTAACTGATCCAACGTCGAGTTGGTCCAATTAACCGGTACCATTACAGTAAAAGCAATACATGCTATAGGAAAAAAGATCTTCAACCTGGAAATTAAACCGAATAAATCAAAGATCACACACATACTTGTTCAAAACATTCAATAAACAAGACACCATATACACATACCCAAGTAAGTAAATCCTGAGATAGACAACAGAATCCAAACCAGCATGATCAATAAGTTCAGGCTCAGGCATTCTCAAAGCTTGAGGCATCCAATTCAAGAATCTGATGTAAGATCGAAAATCCAAATTGACAAACTTGCTAGCAAAGCCACCAGTTTTAATAGGGCTACTTCTTAAACCCTTGAGATACCATTTAGGGAAATAGACTCTGTCGTTAACTGGTTGAAGTCTAAGAATCGCAAAGGCGATGAAGAACGCGAATGCGGTTAAGATATTGATCGCTGCTGCGACTCCGATATCGTTTAGTGTAGCCATGATTTAGAGAACGAAAGACACAATCTTCCTGAAACATTTAACACACAACAAACGAAAAAGGTTAAAGCTTTAAACTTAGGGTTTCTTGCAATCCAAGGACTTGTCAAAATTGCCAATATTTCGCTAATTTTTCTCCATGACTTTCTCGTTTTTACCCAGAAATCGGAATTTTTTTGGGTCCTAGTCATAATCTTTTCAAATTCCGTCAAATCCATTAAACACTGAATCAACTATATAATGAGTGATTCGTAAAAGATTGAGATAAAGTTCAATTTTTTACCTTTCTCAAGAGCTCAGTGATGAAACTCGTCTTCTTGTTTCTAACTGTGAAGTCAAACAACGTTGAGCAGAGAATGAAGAAGAAGAAGAAGAGAAAGGAATAGGGATCAGAAGAAGGAGAAGGAGAAACATTAATAAAAATGAGATTTTTAATTTGTGTTTTGGGTTTATTTTGGAAATTGATCCAAAGATTCAACTGAAGTGAGATTTCTGCTGATACATACGTTTTGGGTGTTACGAGTCCATTTAATTAATTTAATTAACTTATTTAGCGAAGCGAGGATTAAACGGCGATGGACACCTGGCAAAAAAGGTTAATTTATGTTAAATAAAGTAATAACGTTAATTAAGAAAATAATTTTTGTAATTAAATGTTTTGCAGTTTAGAGTTTAGACATCGTCCGTTACTGGTTCCTTTCCAGTTTCTTTAGAAAAGCAATAATGGTTATAGGTCTCGCCGTGTGAGCATGTTATGTTCATATTATAATAACGGCTATATTCTATATTTCCCTTTTTTGACGTCGGCTTTGGTTTAACGTTTTCTATGTATTTATTTATTCCCTGATTTGAAAGTTTAGTGGACACATTATGTTAAAAAAAGTTTGAGATCTGACTAGGCCTGGGCATATGGGTAACCCGTTCGGGTTCGGGTTGAATGGGTAATAAATTTATGGTCCATTCGGGTATTTCTATGGTTTCGGTTTCGGTCCGGTTCGGGTATTGTCGGATTAAGTCGGTTTGGGTAATACCCGAAGTTTAAAATCACTTTACATACTCAAATGATCAAATAAAGAGATAGAACATCAAACATGACATTTAAATACTAAATTCAATTCAAAATAACTAAGATGATTATTTCATACTTAATTACAAAATTTGATTTTTTCTGCATATGCTATGATTCAAATTTTTTAAAATGGACATATTACTCAATCGATGAAGAAAAAAGTATGTGTACAATCTATATTAACATTTTTGAAAAACAAATTTGCGCGTTTAATCAGGTCGTATTTTTTTTTTACTCTGACCCGGAATTGAGTCATTCAGATATTTTCTTAATTTCTACAATTATCTAAAACGGGACAATATACCATGGTGAAATCTTAAAATTAACAAATCGAAATACAATTATTTAGTATTTTAATATACATTTTAAAAATATTTTTACGGGTTGGTCTAAAAACATACACTAATTTGAAAAAATATATATATATATATATTATAGAAACTATTTGAAAGCAAACTTTTAAATTGACTCGAATTATATGTCTTTTAAATAAAAGTGTTATTAAAAGAAATAACAAAATGATGTTTAATTTTACGGGACATGATTATATGGTGGGACGGATCGGATTTGGATTGATATTAATACGGGATAATATATCACGGGTGAAATCCTGGGATTAACAAATCAAAATACAATTATACAATTTTAAACACAAAACAAAACAAATACAACTTAAAATTTTCATTTTTAGTTACAACGCATGTGACTCGCAATGTACAACAAAAAATATTATATACAACAAATTCATCAGTTTATAAAAAGACAAAAAAAATCAAATAATTAACCCGCGGTGTACCGCGGGTAACAATCTAGTAATGGTTATAGTGTGAGCATGTTATGTTCATATTATAATAACGGCTATATTTTATATTTCCCTTTTTTGACGTCGGCTTTGGTTTAACGTTTTCTATGTATTTATTTATTCCCTGATTTGAAAGTTTAGTGGACACATTATGTTAAAAAAAAGTTCGAGATCTGACTTTGGAAGAAAAAGTTCGATTTAATATTGTCAGTTTTAAGGTAAATTTGTGAGTTTTAATTCGCTAATCGTTACAAATAATGACAAAGGAAAACAAAACTTAGATATATATCGGGTTGTGGTAATTGGTAAAAGAAGATTCGGTTAGAGAAATAAAATCTAGCTAGGAGAAATAAGAAACATACTAGTAGTGTTCTAAGCTGGAATATAGATTTTATGTATTGGGGAATCCATGTGACAAAAATCATTAGAATTTCATATAAGTGTTATGGAAGACTTGTTGTAAGCTTCGTGAGAGTATCCATCACAATTTTAATTTGATGTTTTGATTTTTTGTCGGCAAACTCGATTTCAAAATTTTATTTACGAAGCTTTTTTAATGCATTTCATTATTATCTTTGACGTGAGATGCTGAGATCGGAGACGCTGAATAATTTGACAGATATAGTTATAGAAAAATCATATAAAAGTCAACTTGTGACATGTTAAGTTCGTATAGAATATACGTGAGCATACCAAAAAAACAATCGTTTTCTATAAACAGCAAACCGGAAACTCTACCGGCCAGACATAAGACTGACTAAATCATCGTTTTGGAAGTTTGCAACATCCCAATTTCCAGTTGACGAGAAAAGAGTGGATAAAGCAACCACAATGTATCTCATACTCGGACGTAGTTGAGCATTCTCTTGTGTACAAGCTTTCCCTAATTCCGCCATCTATACCACAAAACATAAACAACAAATTGGCCCGGGTATTAAAATTAGCTATGTCCAATCCGGTAGTCGGTTTGATTTTTCGGCCTTGTTCGGTTTCAGTTTGATTTGATTTGTTGACCAAAAACCGGATTGATTTATCTTTTTGGACACCCCAAATTAGAATGATGAATACAATTAGGCCACAAGAAGAGAGATTACCTTATATACCGAATCAAACGGGTAGCTATCCCCAAGCCTCGGGTCTATAATCTTACGTAGTGCTTCTTCTTTGTCGGTCTCCTTGAATGCTTCTTCGAACTGGATAATAAAGAAACAAAGCATATGTTAAGTGATCCATCGTACATGTCTTTAAATCAGAAAGACAAAATGTTGTGAAGAAACAATAATACTAACCACACCAACGAGGCCTCTAAATTCACCAACGGCTTCCGTCATTTTGACAACCGCGCCTTTCGCAGAAATCAATTCGTAAAGGACAACTCCAAATGCATATACATCTACTTTTGCAGATACTTCTCCATAAACAGTCCTGCACACATACATATATATACCATCACTATAATGTAGTCTCTAAAGAAGTATATAAATGTCAATGAGATCAAGTTCTTTACTCTGGTGCCATGTAACCAAATGTACCCATTGCACCACGAGTTGCTGAGCCTCCAACTTCTGTCAGTTTTGTTAACCCGAAATCTGCTACCTGTAACACGGAAACGACTCAGAGCCATGACAAAGTAAAAATCTTTTTTTCAGTATTTACACCTTTGATTGGCAATGAGAAATTGAGAATGGACCTTTGCTCGAAAATTCTGGTCTATCAAAATATTGGCAGATTTAATGTCCCTGTGGACATAGACAGGAACCGTGTGCTCGTGGATATATTCTAAACCTCTAGCTGAGTCTAGTGCAATCTGCACTCTCTTAGTCCACGGTAGTGGTTCTTGTCCTAGTTACATATAACTCCTTAGTTTACATCTTTCAACTTATTAGTACTTTGAAAACTGATTCACTTTTTGGAGGTCTTGATATTGCGTACCTGACCCATGTAAATGTTGTCCAAGGTTGCCATTCTCAACATATTCATACACCAAGAAAAGTGATCCCTCAACACAATATCCAATCAGGCGAACCTGCACAAAAAAACAAGTTCGTTAAAATTTGACCAAGAATCGATCTTTATCTGATCTCAGATATTATTGAGAGAAAACAAAAGGGCTTTACCAGGTTGACATGATGTACACGCGTTAAGACTTTTAGTTCCGCCAAGAACTGTTTCGATGCCTCCATGTCCATCTTCTTGATCGCAGCTTTCTATACAAGAACCGAACAACTTTAATGTTCAATGTGTAGCTTCAAAGGAAAAGATATAAAAAGATATCTGCTTACTTCTCCTCTCAGCTCTGCATAGTAAACAGCCCCAAAACCACCTTGACCAATCTTAAAAGACAGATTGAAATTATCAGTAGCCTTTGCGAGCTCCTCCAACGTAAACTCAACAGATTTGTCCACGCTTATGGCAGCAATGCCAGGAGATACTCCGGTACCACCCAAGCCTCCACTTTGGAGGCTGGTAGAAGAAGCTAAAAGAAGATTTGATAAAAATATAATCAGCAACTTCCAACTAAAAAAAGAAACATTAAAGTAGAGATAAAACTGTTTGTATATAATCATCACAAAATTACCAAGATCAGCCTTAGTAGACAACGGAATAGAAGATGAATACGAATCACCCTTCGACTTGCTCTTCCGGTAAGCATAATATATGATAAACAAGATTAACAACAAAGCCACAATCACTCCTACAACTATACCAGCAATAACTCCAGCACCAATACCACCTGCTAATACAAAAAAATATCAAAAAACATATTCTTCCAAGTTGCTTCTTGTTTCGTGCAGAATCATCAAAAGCTCGAAAATGGAGAAAAGAACCAACCTTGTTTACTACAAAAACATAAGAGAAGTAGAATATACATCAGTAAATAGATATCAAATGAACAAAAGATACAATCTTAACAACAACAAAAACAACCTTGATTTGAAAGCTGGAAATGCACCACTTGGATCTGCAAAACATACAATAACAGGAACAAAAACTTCAACAATTAGTAGTGTTCTAAAATACGGTCTACGCTAGGTGTATGGCAGAGCACCGTATAGACGTATATACGGCCGTTTATGCGGGGATTATACTACTCTATGAATTCGTATCACAAATAATCCAAGATCAGTCTATAAACTCTAGCTAACTACAAAATTTGTTCATCATTACCTCTTCCCGGCACATAAACGATTCCATTCCCTGAGTTAAAATTAACACCAGGATTATATCTCTGCAGAATATCCGCCGATACACCGGAAGATCTCGCAATCGAACTGAGACTATCTTCAGGACGAAGCGGATAAGTAACAAACAAACCAAAATCCTTAGAAACACTCTCATCACCACAAGAACAATTCACCAACACATTAAGCGTCGCGGAGAGCGGGATATTAGTCGCCGGAAAAGGATTCCTCGCCTGCAAGGATTCCACCGTCGTTAAATTCGCGTAATTCCTGATCGCCACTCTTTCATAAGTATCTTCTTGTCGAACACTGTAGCTGAAATTGTGCCCTAGAAAATCACCAGGCTGACATTCGCAAGGGAAAGGTACAAGAACCCTAGAACCCATCTGGATTCTATCTTTGTCTCTAATGTTCGGGTTGTACCTAAGGATTGGATCGAAATTGACTTGATCGTAAGGTGCGATTGAAGAATTGAGGTTTTGGTTGATGGCGGAGAGAGTTGTTCCATTAGCGAGGTAGTAAGAAGCTAGAGCTAAATCGCAGCTGTTCCTGCACTTAGATTCGACGGCGAAGAAGAGAAACGACGATGAGAAGAGAAGAAGAAGAAGCGGAGCGATTAGAGAATTTAGCTTCATCGCCGGAAATATTTGGAAGCTCCTTAGGGATTCTCAGAGGAAGGTCTCTGTTTTTTTTTGTGTTTTTGTTTCGTCGTGCTCTGTGGGGAAGAAGATGGATTCAAAGAGGAAAAGGTTGACTTAATCAACGTTGACTAATTTTTTCAACTAAGAGAATGATGATTAGATTATTTTGTTTAATTAATCAGTTTTTGTTAATTATTGAGAAGTTTCTTAATTAGTTTTAAATTTTTAATACTCTTCCACTTATTTTTAATTTTCAATATAAAATTAATTATTTTTTTATTGATTTTGACAATTTATATTTTATATATTATTTTTTATTGATTGATTAGATAACAAATGATATTTTTATTTAAAATAAACAAAATTAAATAATTTTTTAATCTATATACATTATCCTAAAACATTAATTATAAAAGAAGCGACGGAGTATTACTAAACTCATTTAATGCAACTAGCAGCTGGAATTTGGAAGTCTTTGGTCAAAGACTATGAAGACCGCCTTTTTTTGTTGAAGGAAGATGAATTTTTTTTTTTTTCACAATAGTGTTCTTTATAGATTATGGAGCCAACACAACTAGTAAACAGTCAAGCCTATTACAAGTTCTGAAAAAGATAACAAACTAAGCTTATAAGCTGTCGTAAGCAAGCTGGAAAGGATCAAAGATTGGCAACAAACTAACAAGGACTTAATAGAAGGAGCAAATCTAGCAGAAATTCTAACAGAAAATAAAAGACTAAGAGAGGGTTGAACGAATCTCTCACTTAACCCCTGTCCCAGGAACCTTTACACTTAACGCGCGACCGGCAGAGCCATGAGTGCAATTGAATCAACCCGAAACTTCTGCAAGAGTCTCGACCATTGAGATCCTAAAGCTTGAAAGGAAGGTAACAACTTCAACGACCCGCTTCTCAATTTCAAACCCAAGTAACGCAGACGAGAGAACAAGGAGGAGTCTGCGAAATAAACCAAGACGGGAAACACCAACTACAACGAGAAGGAAAGCTGAAGGAAGATCAACTCCCTAACTCAGAGCAAGCAAATAAACCTAGTCTGGAGCTTCCACAATCAAGAGAAGCACAAGCCACAAAACAAACCACAAACAGCAAGACCATGTTACCATACCTGATTACACCAATGATATAGAACTAGAGACTGAGAGCCCCAAAATCCGGACCAAACGTCTAAGACATACTACCAGACCTTAGAAAAAGGCCAACAAAACATCCAATTCTCATATGAAGACCAAGCCAAAGATTAAAACCATCCTAAATTACCCACGACTAAACATCTAAAACTAAACTGATTGAGATAGCATTCACTAATTCTATCTCTGTTATTCAAGATTGAAACCAGTACCTATTACACAGCCTAAGACAAGATTTAAAGCCGGCAAGGGTCGAAACCCCTCCAGAAACAAAGCCGGCGAGTTTAAAGGAAACTCCCGGAGCCAAAAGCCCGATTAACGGGAAACTGCAGACTGCCGAATCAGGATTCAAAACCTAACCAAGAGATCGAAGAGAGCAAAGGTAAGGCGGTTACAAACACAGCTTCCAATTCCGGTGAGGCATACGCGATGGAGATCTGAGAAGCAACTCCGCCAAGCGAATCCAAGCTCTGAAACAAGTTCGCCTCAACTCTTCCGCAACGGCGACATCATCTCCGGTGATCGAGCTCTCGCCGTTTCCGTCCAACAACCTGTCGGAGAAGAGTGGCGGCGAATCGCGTCTCCGCTTGGGTTTCACTATCGCCCACCGCCTCGCCTTTTCCTCCTATCCCCCGTTACATAATAAGGAAGATGAATTAATGCCTTGGAACTTTGAATTTTCTTATTTTTTTTGGCTCAAATATAAAATTACTAATTTATAATCGACAATAACATAGACAATTTTTTCTTCTTACATATATATAAAATATTTTCAAAATTCTCAAAAAGTATTTCTTTCATCTAAACATATGTGTCTATACTTAGATAACACTGATAAAATAAACTAATTAAATAGCATAAAAATCACTTAATGATCTTAAGACAAAATTGGTCATTGATTTTCACGAACTTTAGAGTGTGATATCATTTAACGAAAGTAACGTTTAAATTAGAAGTAACTAACTTTGTGTTGGATTTTAGAGAACAATGACAATCTAAGATAGCTTCTTCAACCCCAATTCTTGATTGGGTTTTGTAAATTCTTCACAAATCATTAATAAGAATTGAGAGTTGATCCTTCACTTTGGTCTTTTGTAGTTGCAGTGTCAAGCTTCATACCTCATCAATCTGCTTTAACTCTGTGGCGTCGAAAGATCCGGGAGAAAAGGGATACCAACCATTGCCACAACACTATCAACCAGTTACGGCTCATTGCCTTAGCACCGCCTTCTTCTTTCCCTTTGAAGATTCCTTTGTACATTTCTTTCTGCTTTTGGTACAAAGCTTTCTCTTGCTCTGCAAGTGCTCGTAGCTCTCTTCTAATCGCCTTGTCGTCAGGAGCATACTTTTGTGCCTTTCGGAAATCATCACGGGCTGAGTCCATCTGTCCTAGCTCTGCCTTTGCCTTCCCTCTTCTGAACAGCGCTTTTGGGTTTTTCTCTTCTTCTGTCAACACCTGATAATGTTTTCAGTTTGATTAGATTCCGAGAAATGAGTATGAACATTAATCATCTCTTCCAATGAATGCCTTGATGAGTCTTACAATGTTGCAGTGACCAATTGCTTCATCGTATCGTTTCAGCTTGATGAGGCAAGCTGCTATGTTTAGGTGGCATGGGTTCTTAACTGCCAAAGCCATATCCTGGTACTTCCCATACAGCTGAAACATAAAATCGTCCCCCATGTATGCTATGGCCTGAGACAGTAAAACCATGACTAATCAAAAGCCGAAAAAAAGACACAAGAGCCTCGAGCAGACTCGGAGTATGCCTGAAAACCAAAACTTTGACCGTAATTGTTAGAAAGAGAGAGATGCATAACCATTTCATACTGTTGCATGGCCTCCTCCAGTTTCTCCTCCTTAAACAGAGAATTTCCTTCCATTTTTCTTCTGTCCGCTGCACCAATCCTTTCCTCCACAGTCATATCACTGCGAGCCTTTCCCTGTAAAATCCGTTCTCCAAGTCAGAGGTAAACAAGGAGGTTAAGATAAAGCTTGGTTGTGGAGTTGTCTGGGTAAGGAAACCAAAAGCTTCAGAATTCAGATGATGATAGAGAAAAAAATACTTGCCTCCTTTGTTTCATCAAATCCAATAACTTCAACCTCATATAACAAGTCCGCCATAGGTGGAACATTCGGAAAAGAAAAGTTTCCTTCTTTCCCATAAGCCAATTCCCAGCCAACATGCACAAGCGCTCGTTCACCAGACTTCATGCTAGAAACACCGATGGCCAAACCGGCCAATTCTTTTTTCTCTGTCTCACAGACAATATTTCACCCTTTAGAGTGCAATCTCTTTTAAATTTTTTGTACAGTGACGTTAACATGGGCTAGTCAGCATTGAAGCAAAAACATAAGAAACTCAATCCTTTTTCCTGCTACATATCCATTTCATTGGGTTCACATGATACACAAGCTGATTCATCAAATTTACCAAGGATGATGCATCCAACGAAATGGAGGTGTAGAGTACATATTCGACAGCCACATACCTTTTCCAAGAACCAATTCAATAGGTTGCTGCTCTTGCCATGTATCCTCAAATTTGTGCTGCGAGTTTTTGGTCCATGCCCTATAGTGTACTATGGCCAATATGAAATTGGTCAGATCAAAAGATTCAAATAAATGTAGAAGCTTGAAGAAGATTCCATACAGGAAATAGTGAGTTAAGTGTTCCTCATCAACCATCACACCCAGAGGAAACATTTCAAAGTAATTGTTATATCAATAACAAAGCTCACCAAATTAATACCACATAAGAACGTGAATAACCCTCTCATAGCATGGCAATTCCAATTTCGTATCAAGCATTACAACTAACCAAAGGGACTCCACAACAAAAGGGAATCTAAACCAGTAGCAATAAGTACTTGGATACTTACAGCATCATAATCTAAGGGTACTTACAAAAGCATGTCGAGTACTTGGATGGTTTGGAACCGTGACCTTCCTTTATAATCTGCTTACTGACTTTCTCATCCAAAACCTCAGCTTCACTATCAACTTTAGGAGGAACACTACCATCTTGAGATGGCTCACCATGCACAACAGCACTTCCTTCAGCAACTATTTCGTCCTCTTGGTCTTGAGCCAAAAATAAAACAGTAAGAAAACATAGTAATCATTATCAATTCTAACAAAAATAGTTATTTCCCCCCAGCAGAATATGTTGTATACATGCTAGTTCCAAGATTCACAATATAACATAGAAAGAACAAAGCAATCAATACAATTTGATAGACACTTATGCTTTCACAAAGCATTCAATTGAACATATTGAAGTTACCATGTGTTTGAGTTTGATGCTCCAGAGATTGATCCATTATTTTTCCAAATCAACCTGGGACTGAATCAAAAAGGGGCAAGTGTTAGAATGATGGCAATGTCAATCCAAAGATTAAACCTTTAAGTCTTGAATTGATTATATGACAAAAGCCCATAAGAACATAGTCGAAGTCAAGCTAATGGAACCAATTCATTTCAAAACAAAAATCAAGTTTTGTCGTCAATAAAAGCAGAGAACGAAGGAAAAGTTTGTGAATTTAGAGAAGAGGATAGTCAAACTTACGAAGAAGAAGTGTGAATCGTCTTCGTCGTCGAAGAGTCACTCACGAAGACTGGATCGAGAGAGATCAATTACAGATTTTGATTCTGAAGATATCAAAAGAGACCCTTGGACTTTTCACTTAATTAGTCAAAAACAAAAATTAAGGAAAATTCAACGTCAGCCGTTAACTAACGGGAGTTTAACGGCGTTTATTGTAAGTGAGAAAAATATATCAAATAGTCTCAATTTTGGTCCCAAAGATTTTAATTAAAAAATAGTTATACAATCGTCTCTCAAGAACCATTTCTATAGTGATCACAAATATCTACATATACATTTTTACAGGGGATTTTTGCAAAAAGTCTTTTGGATCCGGGTTTTATCCGGGATTAACTCTATCCGGATCTTGGATAAGGAATTTTAGGAATGTTGTCTTAAAACCACATTAATTCTTAATTAACACCTAAATTGGAAATATATATAATATATCTAAACTAACCATATTTGTTATTTACCTTAACTACTTCTAACCATAATTATTTAACTATTTATTTCTATATAGAAAGAATATGTGATTAAAATAAATATTTTGTAAAATATTTATTTGGGAAAAAATTGTTCATACGAAAATAATTTATTTTGTTATAAAAATTAATATTTGTTATTTGTAATTAAATTAAATAAATAATAATAATAATTTGTCTACACCATCAAATGAAAATAGTTAGTTATTTAATTTTTTATTTAATATTACGTAATTTTTAAAAAATAAATTCAACAATATAATGTCAATGGGTTTAATTCTAAAGATTTGAAAATATTAAAAAATATACTAACCAAAAATTATCTATCCTAATTTGTTTCTAACAATTTGGACACAAATCTTTCAAATCTTTCAAAATTTTAATGTGATCACATTTGTTACTAAAATCTCGATTATATTCCTAAAAATCTCGAGAAGATCTTCATTTAAATCTGCAAATTATAATTTATGAATTAAATAAACTAACAATACGAATATTCCTAATATATTCGAGTACCATAACGAAATTAATTCTTTAATTAGACATATATTTTCGAAATTATCTTAAATGCTTATCATTCCAAAAATTAAATTGATTTCGAATATTTTCACAATCTAAATTAATTACTATAACATACTTTATCTCAACTATTGTTCCTAAAATATTGCTTAAATCTCGATTTGAAAGAAACTAATTACTCTATATATATTTCGAAATAATTAGATTTGGATCCTTTCTTTATTTGAACGGTTTATCAAAATTATATTCCTATAATAGATTGTAAAACATTAATGCACTATTACGAGAATATGAATTTAAAGGAAAATCTTTGATATTAATACTCCTAATAAATAGCCTATTTTAATTGCAAAAATCTTTCATATTAATGCTCTGAATAAATATGCAGATTTTAACCGTATATAATAATTGCAATTCACATTTCTTGCCTAAATAAAATGAACTATATTAATTCCGTATTCAATCCACCTAAAAGATTTAGGAAATTTTCTCATGATAAACGATATTTAAAGATATTATCCTAAAATGGTTAGGAATATATGTAGCATATTCTAGATTTGTGATAATTTAAAGATTTTCGAATATATCAACGCCTTGCTAATCAAGATTTTGGATATTCTCTAACACAAAACCCTACTAACCTATCATAACTCTATAAATACTTGATTGTTTCTACTACTTCTGAACACACAAAACACCAGTTGCATTCTTTAACTTTCCAATTTCTAATCTTAATGTGTTGTTTGATTTAATTTCTTGAAATTGGATTCGATTAAACTTTGAATTTTTGTTTATACGTTTAGAAATAAATCTATTTTGAATTTTCTACGTCAATCATTTTATGAAATTTGAGGAAAAAGATACAATTCTTTTTTTATATTCATCAATTCTTTTGTTCATATACATCGCTAGAGTCTTTGGATATTATTAACTTTTTTTTTTGTTCGTGTGCAGATTCTTTGTGGTCGATCATGTTGGTGATGAGTTACGACTACTCTCAATGCTAGATGCTTTGGTAACAAGTTAATTTCTATATAATATGGATTTTCCACTTACAGATTTGGAATGTCAGATTTTGTGAGTTGAAAAACTATTTATGTTTCAAAGTGTATATCTAAGCTATACAAAAGAAGTATATTTGACATCTTTTTCTCTTTTTATATTTGAGACTGTAGCCATTAAGAGTATAAAATATCTGCAAAAGATGAAGACCAACATAGAGACACCAATTTGTATCAAAAACAGGCAATTACTCATTTGACTAACTCTGGTTGTGTTATACGTACGTTTATTATTCTTTCAATTTGCTAACGACCTTATATGTGACTATTTAGTAGAGCTGCTGATTTGTATAGGCAGATTCTTCAGCTAAAGCCATTGCTGGAGTACTTTATTAAAATTTCTGACTCAAAAAATTTATATGTTTTGTTTTATATACGTTTATTATATTTTCACTTTCACTTTGGCTAATGATCTTATGTTTGACTATTTAGTAGAGCTTAGCCTAAGGTGCATTAAGTGAATGCACCATTTTACTAAAAGCAATAGACACAGTGAACAAGGTATCATCCATTTGTTTTCATATATTATACTTGATTTGACAAAATTCATGTTTGCTTTTTTATTGTATTCAAACCAATAATAATCATATTGAGCTTACATTTCTTGGGTGTGAAAGTAGCTTGATTACATAAAAACTCCAAAATCAGAAACGTATAAGAACGGTTGAAGAAGACGAGAAGGTTCTCAAAAGAGATTTTTATTTTATTTTATAATGCAACATTTTCTGTTTTTTCATAATTTTTCAATTAAAAGTCCAAAGGATAAAATACAGAAAAGACAAGTGAAGCCTAATTAAGGCCCAATACATAATTACACGTCTTTAACATAAATTAGTTTTCTTTTTTCGAGTTTTTTTTTTTTTTTTTTCTGTTTTCTTAGGTAAAGCATGAGACATTATTTGACTATTTTTTATACAATTAGAGTAATTTAATTTGTCTTTCGAAATTTTGTCTTTTTGGTTTATTTTAACACATTTATAACACACATATATAACACTATATAGCATTATCAAACAATTATATAATAAAGAAAACTTTATTATATTCAGATTAAATAATAAATTATATAAGTAATGAGTATAAATTTTATCCCACTAATAAAACTTACTTAGTTTTAAACTTTGGGATAGTAATTTAATAACATGTATCTTATTCGTATAAATATTTAGTCATATAAAAGCCAAATAATACTTTAGGAAATGTTTTAATAAAATTATTATTAAAAAGAAAATTACAAAATGATGTTTAATTTCACGGGATGAGATTATATGGTGGGAGGGATTTGGATCAATATTAATACGGGATGGTATACTACGGATAAAATCCTAGAATTAATAATCAAACTATAATTATACAATCTTAAACACTAAACAAAACAAATATAACTTAAAATTTTGATTTTTAGTTGTAAAATATCGTTATGCGGTATACTATATATCTATAGATTATCTTAAAAATTTTAATTTTTTTATTTAGTAAAAATATAAGTCCGCGGTGTACCGCGGGTTAACATCTAGTTTGTTACAAATACATATCAAAGCAACTAACAATTAAACCCAGAAAACCCCAAAAAAAACTGTTGTTAAACAAGTATTCACTATTGGGAATGAGATACTTCACACTCCTCTCGTTCATCGATCACTTTCGAAATTCTTCTGAGCCGATTCATATCGTTATTGTTTGACGTATAAGCTGATAAAAGAGCCTACTAGTTTGTGGACTCAGAGCTGCTTGCAAGATTGACTGAGGAAACAAATCTTGGAACCAGCATTGTCTCGTTGGTTACAACGGTCTTTGAAGTCGCTAAATCTTCTAACCGCTGCCATGTTCTTTCCCGTTTCGCTTTAGCCTCTGTTTTATTCTCTTCTTCTACTTGGAATTTGGCTAAACACTCGTCGAAAAGAACTTGGTCAATGTCGCAGAATACTTTCCTCACGTTTATAGTCAGACTTTGAACTGCTTGGTTCCAGTGTCCACGCGTGTTTCTCTCGAGAGCTGGGAAGACTATAGGCATTATTACTTTATGGTTCTGAGTGATCAAGTTTCTTATGTGATCGTTGTTCCATAGAAATAATGCTCTTTCAGCAACCTGACAAACAAAAGCACAACTTCATATAGATACAAGACTTTGTCAAGAGAGATAGATATGAAGTTATGATAACCAGAGAATCGAACCTGAAAATGCGAACTGTTGAGGCATCGAGCAATTTGTCGGAATAAAGGGACCATACAGCGCTGAAACTCAGCGGCTTGCGTTGCCTCCAAGACTTCTTCTAACTCCCCAAGAAACATTACTTCCTTTGAGCTGTTAGTCACAGGCCAATATTTTAAAAGGCCTCTAATAACGGTATCAGCGAGCTTGAAGTCCTTTTCTACAAACTGAACTATGCAATACGAAAGCTGTTGGAAATAGACCGATGAACATTTAGGCTTGTGGAGAGGAATCAAGGCTCGCAAAAGGAAGAGCTTGTGCTCTTCTTTTAAAGGCAAAGCAAACCCATTAATTATACTTCCAAGAATCTCTAGCAACTCTGCAATGCCATTATGCTTTTCAGTCTCGGAAATGAATCTGTAGAAGATATTGTTTATCGCCTTTCTGATATAAGGTCGATGCACCATGAACTTCCCGTAGACCCGATGCAGAATAGTTTTCAAATATTCCCTCTCTCTTTGATCTTCAGAATCAAACAAGTCTAACAGCTTCAAGACAAAGGAATGGTCAATATATCTCTTTGCAAGCTTTGCGTCAGTCATGGGAGAAGCCACGAATCTGAGCAGAATCTCATACACAACTTGAATATGAGGCCAAGCTGGCTCCAACGAAGGTTCCTCATCATCCATATCATGCATTTCAAGAATTTTACCCTCGTGATTCGCAGAAGGAAACGTTCTAAACAGATTAATCGCTACCATCTTCGTGAGCTCTTGCATCGCAACATCATTAAACTTCACACCAACTGATGCAACATAGTCAACAAGCTCGAGCAATGTCTGCCGCTTAATCTCTTTCTCTTTTACGTTCTTCGATGGATCACTAAAGTCAAAGACAACACAGCACATACTCAACTTCCCGATAAAGAGATTCGATTTCTCCGAGATAGGAAAATCTCTAAAGCTAGGCAAAGCCTCATAAACCCCACCAGAAGGGGGAAACGGTCCAGCTTGTACAACAGCATCTCCTCCCAATGGTTTCTTCCCTTGATTAGTCTTGTTAGAGCTCAATGAATTAGGAGCAAGAGTTCCATTAGCTACACGTGAACCCGAGGCTGATGACGATTTCGAAGATGCTGAAGAAGGTTTCGAGATACTACTACTACTCGAATTCGAAGCATAATAAGAGTTAACACCTCCTTCACCATTAGAATCATTCTGCAAAGATTTGGAAGGCTTTCGAGGTAATTTCCCAAATATCTGCTTGATCATTTCTAACTATTGGCACAAACCCTTCACTACTACTATCTATAAGAAGAACCAAAAGCTAAAAACCAGCTCTGAGTATGTCAAAAAGTCCTGAACTTTATTGTCTAAACATAACCAGAATCGCCTCTGAATCAAACCCTAACTCAGTACATCGAACAGGCTTGAACCCTGAACCCAAAATTACATAACAGAATCAGATCAAGCCAAAACAAATCTAACAAATGAATTAAAAGGAGAAGAGCTTACATTTTGAGCAGAATTAACCCGAGAGAGTAAATCAGAAGAAAAATACAAACTTTAGGCAAGAGGGATCTTGCTGATAAACCCTGGAAAGGAAAAAGACCGCTCCTTTTTCTCGCCCAAAATTGAAATCGAGCGAGAGAGAGGAGAAGAAAGGGGGAAAAAAGACAGAGAAATCCAAAAGAAAAATATGTAAGAAAAAGAGAACAAAAATATAAGTTGAGATTTTAAGGTTTGTAATGAACAAAAATAGAAGAAAGTAATCGTTTTCTTCTCTCCTTATCCTTCTCTGTCTCTGGATTTTTACTGTAAATCTAAACCCATTTAAAACACTTATCTTTTTTGCTCTGAATCGAATAACAAACCTGGAAGGCTGGAACATCCAGATATTTTCTTCTTTTATTAATTGTTTTTTTCAAAAATAAATATCTCAAACACACATACATTAGATCGAAAACAGAAAGAAAAATCAATAAACATGGTCGGACACGCACGGTTTGACAAAATGGCAGGTGAGTCAAAAGTCAAAACAACCCCCAAAAAGTAAACGTTTTATTACATGGTCGTCAAATAGAGTAATTGGTCAAATTCGTTAAATTGCACCAATCACATTTCATTATGACGTCATCAAGGTTCTAATTTGATCATTTTAAATTTTCTATATATATAACTCAACAAGTTTATTATAGGTAGACCATAATCTTTTTAGTCAGTAGATTTGTACTATTTTCATGATCAAATACGACTACATAGCGTTTGACCATTGATTCTAGTCTAAAAGTTTGAGTCAAACACATCAAGACTACTAAAAGTCAAAAAAAGTTTCTGATGTTATTTACCAACTGTAACTAAAGATTTGGTCGCATGTACTTAGGAAAAGAGCTAGAATTTTTGGACGAGGACAGAGTTGGCGATGCCAGCTTTCTCTATGGTTTGGTCAAAGTCAGGCAGTCGTGTAGGAGGAGACCCCATGATGAGTAATTCGTAGTCTTTGGAGCCGTCTGGTCTAGACGCGTCTATGAAGCCTCGAATGTCTCTAATGGTGTGGTGAGTGTTGAAACGGGTGACTAGGCGTGTGCCGTCTGCTAATCTGAGCTGAATCGAGGTTGTTGGCGCTGTAGGATCTACCACTATTAAGCCCATTGATGGTGGCGGTGAGGTGGCTAAAGTTGGTAGATTAGTAGAGACAGAGTCTGATTCGGCTAGAGTGCTTCCGACACCGTGGAATGAAGGTGATTCCTGTTTGTTAAGATATAAGAACAAGAGCATTCACCTTTTTAGCACATTTGAATCAGAGTCCAGAGAAGAGAAAAACATTATATAGAGAAGATAAATATACACTGAAGTTTCCTTCACGCCTGATGAGTTTGACTTGAACACTAAGTGGATCAAGTAGTCGTGGGGACTCCAAACTTGTTATCCTCTGGCAGACATGGAAAATTATGTTATCATAGTGAATCAAGTACAAAGAAAGACCCATAATTGAGAATGACAAGAAGATATTGACTTAGTAACCTCAAGAAAGGCTGCATTTTCCGGGTCATCCAAACTCTTAAACGGATCATCATCGATAGTAAAACCATTCCTCCAAATAGTTACAGTGGACGTGACTACTTTATATGGCTGGTCTTCTTGCTGTTGTTCTTGAAGCTCAGCTGAATCAGTTTCTCCAGACATTACCTTTGATGATTGCTCAAATCTTTCTATAGCTGACTCCTTAGCTCTGTCGAAAATCGCATCGACATCTTTTAGCTTTCCATGGTTCCCACTAAAGCTACCACATACATTCAAAAACCTTCTTCTACAAACAACACTATTAAGCAAGATTTATGCCTCAAGACTTGCAAAAACCATCAACATCTTTATGCTTTACCCAAGATCCTTGCAGTCTCATGGAACTTGAATAGCACAATTCTTCAGAGTTTGGAGAAATATAATGATTTATCTCCTTCAGAAAAGCACATTGTCAAATAACCTCATTGATAGTGAGGCAGCTAAAGCTGGTGGCTCAGTTGAGGCAGAGTCTGATCCGGCTTGTGATTCCTGTTTTTAAGATATAAGAACAAGAACTTTCACTTTCATTTGAATCAGAGAAGAGGAAAACATTAGAGAGAGGGAAGGAGAGAAACATACAGTGAAGTTTTCTTCTTCACGCCTAATGATTTTGACTTGAACACGGACTTGAGCGAGTTCACGCGGGGACTCCATCTTCGATATGATCTGACATCAACATAGAACATAATGTTATCTAAAGTAAAATCAAGTACAGAGAAATACCAATAATGTCGTAACACACAAGTTGAAAATGGCAAGAAGATATTGAATTAGTAACCTCCAGAAAATATGCATTTTCCGGATCATCCAACGTCTTTAACGAACTATCATCGACAGTGAAACCGTTGCTCCAGCTTGTTACAGTGTACGTAAAGACTCCTTCAAGCTCTTCTTCAAGCTCAGGTGAATCAGTTTCTCCAGATGATTGCTCAGTTCTTTCTATAGCTCTGTCGAAAATCGCACAAACATATCAAAATCTTGCAGAATTGAGACCTTAAGGACTTGCAAAAACCATCACAATCTCACACTCCAAAGAGGCGCTTCAATTTCCTCAAATACGACTGTGAATGCTAAAGATTGAGGAAACACTAACCTATTATCTTCTCCGCCGTAATTCTCCAGAGCTTCATCGGAATCGCTACCAGTTCCACCGGAGAAATCATCGATACGGACATTTCCATCGCCTTGACGGCGTTTAATCGTATGCCTCGAAAATGGATTAGCTGCTGCACGTTTTGAGTGAAGACGATAGAATTGACCACTAGAAGGATACGACGGAAACGGTGGTCGTAACTGTAACCGCGACGGAGAGTAACCGGAAGAGCCATCAAACGCAGAAAAAGATGAATTAGGGATACGGACTCGAAGATTCGGAAACGGACTTCTATTACGTCGGAGAAGTTGTTCGTCTTTAGGGTTTGGAACATTTGGCTCGGCGGCGACGGCGACTTCGTTCTTAGTGAAGGTCGAAACAGCAGCATTGAGATTCCATTGATGAGTTTCAAGAAAAGATATAGCTACTTCTCTAGAAGAAGATGTGACCTCAATGAAGGAGCTGATTAATTTTTCCGACGTCTCCGGCGAGTTATCTTCCATCGCAAGATTACGTTTCTTCTCCGATCTTCTTCTCTAAAACTTCTGTCTTATAACTTGAGTATCGTCCAAAGAGAACAAAACGCGTCGTTTTATAGGGTTCTTGAAAGAGCAGAAAAACAAAAAATATGTAAATGTTTTTAAATCTTACAAAAAAAAAAAAAAAAAAATACAATCCAAACCATATAGTAATTTTTCTATTTCGTACACACAATATACTAAATACAAAAACAAGAAATCTTCAAAGCAACCACAAAGCAGAGCTCTTTTTTCTTCTTCAAAATCTGGTTTCAAGGAATGTCCTTAAGCTCAAATTCAGAGCTCTCTTTCTTCTTGACCTCCTTCTCCACTAAATCATCATCATCAATCACAACACTAATCACATCAGCTTTATACTGATGTTTCATGGCAAACACAAGAAAAATCAAGAAGTTCAATGCTCCCAAGACAACAAGTAACCAGTAGAAGTAGTTCAATCTCGCTTTGTTAAGGTTACTTCTAAGCCAGCTTTTGTCTGTAACCCTATCCACAAGTGAAACGAGCAAGCTACTCACGAAGAATCCCATAGAAATCGTGCTTAGAAACAATCCGGTGCTCATCGATTTCATTCTCTCTGGTGCTTCTCTTATGAAGAACTCAAGCTGTCCAACGTAAGCAAAGGCCTCACCCGCACCGACTAAGAAATATTGTGGAACCAACCAAAACGCGCTTATTTTCGTACCGTTGTTAACCGCTGACTCGCGTCTAGCGTTCTCTATAACCGCGGCTACAGCCATTGCAGCCATTGAGAATACAAGCCCTACTCCGATTCTCTGGAGGCTGGTGATTCCTTGAGGCTTTTTTGTGAGCCTTCTTGTTATAGGAACAAAGACTCTCTCGTTAAGGGAAGTGAAGAGGAGAATTGTGAGTATGAGGAAGGCAGAGTAGGAGCCTGCAGGAACAGTGAAAGATCCGATTTTTCGGTCCATAAACGTCGCTTGTTCTACCGTGAAAGTCGTCATTTGAGAGTAAATCGTCCAGAAAAGAATGTTTGTTGCCCAAATCGGCACCAATTTCATCACGAGTTTCACTTCTTCGACTTGTGTAACAGTCGAAACGATCCACGGATCCTTCTCTTCTAAGTCCTTCGAACTAGGAGAACTCTCGTTCTTTAGAATCGCGGCTTTGTCTAAACACTTAAGCCTCTCTGTGTGTGGAACCGTGGTGTTGTCATAACCGTTCAAAAGACTCGGATGCGCAGGGTAACTCTCCTTTCTTTTCTTCCAAGCCAAGAAAGCAACCCTCCATATTGTTGTAAAAGGGCTTCCTTTAGGTTTCTTGAAACGGTACCGTTTGGTTCCGCAGAGCAAAACAACGGCTGCAACCACCATAGTCGCGGCCGAGATCCCGTAACCCCAGCCTCTCCCGACGTTGTCCTGAACGTAAACAAGAGCAATAACGGCGAAAAGAGAGCCAACGCTGATGGAGAAATAGAATCTGTTGAAGAAGAAAATCATCTGTTTCTCTTCTTTAGGATCATTAGTATCGAACTGGTCAGACCCGAAACCAGAGACGTTGGATTTGATTCCTCCTCCACCTAGAGCTATGGTATAGAGAGCAACATAGAGAAGAGCCAACTGGTGTCCGTTTGCTTCTATGCACTCATGGTGAAGTCTCCTGAAATCATCACATGGTGGTGGTCTCATACTCGAGATGGTTGTAGCCACCGTCAAAAGTAACACTCCCTGTTTCACAGAAACAAAAAGAGTAAGAGCTAGAAATTCTCGAGCCAATCAAGCTACAAAGACATGGTTTAAGTGTTTACCAGAGCTGTAACAGAAGCTGAGATTGCAACCATCTTGTAGCGACCGAGTTTAGCGTCAGCCAAGAAACCACCAAGAAGTCCTAAGAGGTTAAGAGTTCCCATGAAGTTGGTGACTATGGTTGCTGATTTAGCTGATGAGATGTGTAAATCTCCGACAAGGTAAGTCACTAGATTCATTGATATGCCCATCACGCATATTCTCTCTGATAGCTCACTCCCTTCACATTAAGAAGAAACAGAGGAGTGTTAGAAACAGAGAAGCCATTCTTTTCTTCACATTAAGATTGGAGACTTTACCTAAGATTAAACCGGCGCCTAACCATCCACCGGTTTTAGACTTATCCGGTGGATTTCCTCGGTAATCGAAAGCTTCTTCTGAGCCATCTTTTGCTCCATGAGATGATGACACATGAACCTTTAGAGACAAGCAAAACCGTTAAGAACAGAGAAAACAGAGTCAATAGAAAAAAACAGAGACAAAAAGAACTTTAACTCTACCATTTTCTTATTTGAGAAGTTAGACTTTGAGAGAAGAAGGCAGAGAAGTGTGAGTTATAAGGAGAGATTTAAGATGGTAGTGGAGGTAATAGCGATAAGGGTTTTGACACTTTTATTAGACCTTTGATTTTATCTAACTCCAACAAAACAAAAGAAGAAATGAGAGGAGATACGGTTCAAATGGGCATGTGAAGAGAGATGGGGATTGATTGATATTTGGTGGGTCTTTATTTAAAATGTGGCTTTGCTTTTTTGTGCGGCTGCAGCGATGTATGATCAGATCTAAAACAAACATTGACGCACATTGAGACAACATTGTGATTTCATTATCTTATGACAATGACATTTGTTTATTTCATGTGGTTGCAAGGTTTTCTGCTTCTTTGTAATTCCCCATGTCCATTACTCTATTTTGTCTCTTTATATCATTTTTTATTGTGGTTGCTATCAGTTTTTTTAAAACCAAATGATATCAAATCATGGCTAAATCAGGATCGGACTCGATAATTTGTGTTGTGCTAGTCTAGACGATAGACCGGCCAGGCTAGACCGGTTTTGTGATCACAACATCCCTAGGACATATACACTTATATACTCCCTCCGTTCCTAAAAGTTTGATGTTTTAGTGTTTTAGGTTTGTTCCACAAAGATTGATTTTCTACATTTTTTTTTTTTTAATTAATTGATATTAATAAATCGTAGATTTCAAGACTTAATGATTAACTGTTTTAGATTACTATTGATTCATAGTTTATTAAGAAATGTTTAATAAAAATAAATAATTAAACAATGATTGTTTCTTAAAATATGTGAAATCTCTATAAAATCAATCTTTTAGGAACAGAAGAAGTATAACAAAATGTCAAATCATATGGAAGTTAGCATACAATGGACCTAATTACAGTAGATCCACAAGTAGCTACATTAAAACTTTTAAGAAAGATACAAGATTTCAAGTGTCACTTACGAGTTGCGTAACCAAGCTGAGATGGTAAAGTAAAAAACATATTATTTCCCTTATAAGTAACCAACAATTATATTCGAAAGTGACTCTAAATAAAGGTGAAATGACATGTAAAAAAAGTCTCTAAAATGGAGGAAGATATTTACTTAGAGAGATCCACTGATTAAAAAGCTGTACATGTTGATGAATTGATCCCTTTATTTGAAATGATGTTAGCAATATAAGTCAAGAAAGTAGCAAATACATTAAAAAGTAAAAGTTCAATATAGAAATTTTCCTCCAATGGTTAAGGTAAAGTTGCGGTTTAAGGTTCCTCTACTACTACAAGTTGCATTCTCTCTTTGTAAACGTCATGATTATATCTTCATCATCACTCTAGGATTCTTTATTCATGAACGTTAGCATCGGCCCTACTATATAATTGTTATAAATTAAATCATATTAAAATAGGACATTTGTTTCTATAGTTTTCAAGCTGAATTATATTCTAGAAACCAAGAGTGTGTGTTTAAAGTTAGAATAAACAAATAGAGTGGGTTCATCTTTTTGCACACCAATCAGATAAAAACAATGGAAATTTGTTTCAGTAGAGTTTTACTGGAAAAAGAAATAAGATTATTAAAAGTAGAGTAGCCCAAAAAATAAAGAAGAATAAAAGTAGAGTAAAAACAAATATTTGTTCAATTAAATGAACTATACTGACACTGATAGTGGATACAAGAGTAGCCCAAAAAATAAAGAAGAATAAAAGTAGAGTAAAAACAAATATTTGTTCAATTAAATGAACTATACTGACACTGATAGTGGATACAATAAATTGGTTGTTCAATTTTTATTTTTTTTGGTAAAATTGTTTGTTTGTTCTTGTAGATTTTGGAACCTAAAAGGCTAAAAGCCTAAAACTATTGTACTCTTTTTTTAGTAATTTGGTATCCGATTCTAGTTTTGTTGCGTTGGTCAAGTAATTAAGATTAAAAAAAATTTATTAAGATAATTTTAGTGTTTAGTCTTCCCGAACAAGAGGTATTTTCTCCAAACTTTTGCAAAAGAGTTTTAGTGTTTCTAATCAAGATTTATTGTATATTTTAGGATGCAATTATTAAGCTTGTGTGGGACAATGCCACTACTCACAATGCCCAACCATAGCCAATTCAACACGTAGTCGTATTATAGAATCAGATTTGTATGTTAACTTTAAAGGATATACTAAAGATTCTTATAGTTTCTTTGTGAAAAGAATATATGATATGTTTGTTGGGATTTTGTCCCAAAAGAAAAATATTCGTTGAGAATTTCATACTCCCTCCGTATTTGAATAAATGTCGTTCTAGCCTTTTTTCTGTGTTTTTAATTAGTTGTCATTTTAACAACTTTTGCATAAAATTTCCTAAATTACCCCCAATTAATTGATCATAATTAATCAATCTAAATTACCAAAACTACAGATACTAATCGATTTTCATAAAATTCTGTGCCTTTTCTTAATTGATTTAAAAAATATATAATATAATTATAAATAATCGTTTCTCATAAGGTTAGTTTTGTAATTCTGTGCCCATTCTTAATTCACCCAAAAACAGTTGAAACGACATTTTTTCAAATACAGAGGGAATATCAATTATATGATAAAATATAATCTAATATTGTATGATCAATCCAATTGTTTTGAGTTGAAAACTCATGAATCTCCAAGGCGTAGTAAAATCCGGACAAATTTTTGATTATTTGAGCAATTTGAGTCTCTCCAACCTGAATTCAATCATACAAATTATGTCAAGATGTATGATTTAATATATGCGTATCATCATACCGAGGGCGAGAAGACGTATGAAAACTTTAGATCGTCTACATAAGATTAAACAAGGTTTACAAAATATTGGCACTCAAAAAAAGATTTTTTTTTTTTTTTTCAACAAAAGATTTGTTTGTAAATCACATCAAAATGGCTTGGATCAGTTGATGATCCCTACTCTAGACGGAAGACGACAACAAACCAAATTTACATACTAACAAAACACTTTAAACTATTCCAAAAAAAAAACAAAACAAATGCGGTAATATGGCATATTAGATAAAGTTGGTTTTTACTGTATAATGAAATAGAATTCCGAGTCATTTCAATATTTCATCATCAACTTGAGATAAAAACCAAACAGGCCAAAAGTATGATTGTTTTGGGGAATCTATGCCAACTTTGGATGTGTCACATGTCATTCCATAATGAAAATAACAAGGCCACAATAATGCGACGATAAGAAAATCTTGAATGATATATTAGTACCACATATGACATATGTGATATGCCCCACCCCTTTTATCTCCATGCATGGTGAATTCGGTTAAACATCAATATACAATTTTTTATTTTTTTGCTAAAAATATACAAAAATCTTGCTTGGTTTCTCACGATAAACATTGCTGACTCCAGACTCCTTCTAGATACAGTCGCTCAATATAAACATGTCAGCTTTCTTACAAAATGTAATGAGTTATAAATTAATAAGCTCAAAATACAAACAAATTTCAGCTAAAACCAGTGGCAATAACATATAAAGATTTTCCAATCATAGAATAGAAAGAAAATTAAGCGACCTCTTCATATCTTTATGGCCATTCACATTTCACTTTAACGACTAGATTAATGACTTAAACGTATTCATATTTTCTTAATCTTGAAATATTGGCATATATATGTATTATATATCTTTCTAGTCCCCTATACCTACAATTTTGACTGTCTATTTATTTTGTCTAAACGTACATGTGCATTGCATCGGTTACTAGATGCAAATCGTACCTGTCAACACATGTTAATTCTAACCTAATATATATCGAGTTATGGTTCAAAATAAATAATTTAAATAAAGCTTGAATAATAAATCACTTTCAATTTAGAGTGAAAAGAGTTGGAAAGAAGTTGTTAATAATAGATTACTAATTTCGTATTAGACAATTTGTTCACGCAATCTCTAAGCTTTTGCCGACCACAACTCTTTGTAGTTGAGCTTGTCCTGGCATGCAACGTGAAACTCCTGTTCCAATCATATACTACAATAGATATGTATATGTGTTCGAATTGAGATAAGTTTAGAATATAATTTTGACACGTTAATAGGTTTACGGAAATTTCGATCCATCATCCATGTATCTACTGTCTCTATCTAAAAATGCATTTAAAAGTACAAACGTTTTTGTCCCAAAAAAAATAAAAAAATACAAACGTAGACTATATATGCGTAGTAACCTACAAATATTTGATATGCTTTTTTTACTATATAATATTATCTTGAACAAGTTTTAAGTAGTCTTGATACCAAAAACAAAAAAAGTTTTAAGTCTAATCTCAGATTTTCCGCTCTTATGTTGTTATATCAAAGAAAGAAAGAAAAATCAAAATGGTTCTAAGAATTGTTGAAGAAAAGAAAAAAAAAAAAATATTTGGTCAATTCAGTACTCGCTAAGAGACTATATGAGCTATATGCGCCCACTGAAACAGCCCATTTCGCCTGCATGCAAAAATTGGGCCTTACAGTTTTCTCGCTTAGTTTTATCTGCTTGTTTCTTTTTAAGGTAAAGTGGATATGACTTATGAGAGCCTATGGATAAAACTTGCTTGATTGGTGAAGCTCTTACGATCTTATTTTAAATAGGTAGTATCACTAGCGTCTAGGGAGTGTGATATCGTTTTGATTTTGTGATATTGTTTCATTTGGTTTCGAATCGACTGGTAAAAGACACTAACATTTATTGAATCTAATAGTTTTGTAATAGACATTATTCGAGTTCAAATCTGCCTAATACATGTTGAAAAAATACAACTCCATATGAAATTTAAGAAATGCCACAAGTAATTTATTTATGGCTAATATAACAAGACACATAATGACATATAATAGTTGATTAGTGCTCTAACAAAAACACAAAGCACCAAACATGATGGGGAAAACAAACAAGGAAGAAAAAAACACCAATGTTAATGAGATAACATACATTGGTTAAAAAGGAGCAATCATAGACAACAAAACAAACAGTCATCTTGGAAAAGGTCAAAAGGTACTGTAGATGGATTATTAGTTAAAAATACTATATGATTAATATCAATAATGACTCTCAGGAATGCTTTCTAACGAAGGCCTCCAATTTTCATTACCTTCTTCTTTCTCATCTTCTTCATAATTAGCCCTGGAGATGTTTCTGCCACTATCTTTGAGAACATGAACCAACTGTTCAATGGAGTTGATACCATTCTTGTGACCCAAGATTTGTCTAAGTTCTTTTTTTGTCACCACAACTTTAATCCTTATCACCTTAGATACTTCTTCCGTTGATCTTTCACTTTCTTCTTCACCATTGTAACTCGTTTTGCCTTCTTCCAATAACTTAACCAGCGGCTCGGGCTCGAGATCGTCTTTCTCTTTTCCGGCAATGGCATTGTCGTGTCGCAGACAATTCCCCATTGATATACGTCAATGTGTATAATATTAGATAAAGAACCATGAGATGGTGAGGGTTGTGTGAGTATATATAAAATTGAGAAGAAGAGAGAGAGAGCACATGAGAGACGCGATTTATGCGCCGGAGCATTTGCAATGAGTAAGTGAGGTCTGAATTTTTATTTTTATTGGTGTCGTAATTATTATCTTAGATGTTCTGTCACACAACACGGTTTATAATTATGTAAACTATATATAATATAATCAATCACGTAAGTGGATCGTTTTTTTTATCATGTACGTTTTGTCTTTTCACGGTTGCTTGGGTGAGAATATAATATATCTAAAATAATATAAATATCTTTCTTTTTTTTTTGATAAAATTTAAATATATTTCCTTTGCATTGTAGTGACTCAGCTATTTATCACTAACAATTTAACAACAAATACGAGTGTAAGTGGAACCAATGTATACGGATCTGAAGTTGTTTAAAAACAAAAAACAAAAGATCATGTCAACAACATGCGATATATGGATTTGAATGTGATGGTGCAAATTATACTATAAATTAAGCTACCCAAAAATAGCAAGTCTAGTTTATTTTCTTAACATAGCAATTTTTTCAGTTCAATCATCTCGATCGTAAAAATTTGTTTATATATAAAGAAAAACGAAGCATATATATAACCGAATTTGACAATTTTTCCTATCACGAATTGATGTGTCATGCTTGCCTCAGCATAGTTAACCAGTTCAAAATCTAATTGCGAGGTTTCCTTATTATTACTTTCGGTCAACATTATGGAAGCTACAAAGTTCAAAACGGTCCTTTAGTTCCGTGGTTATCTCAATCTCTATTTCCCTATCATAATTCAAACTTAATTAACGTAGGTTAATTTAGTTAATTTCTCGATAGACTTTAATATTAATGTGCATATATACTAATGTGAACGTAGTATGGGTTAGGTAGGTTTTGCAAGCTCACAAATCATAACACTACTATTTTTGTATATATATATTTTTTTTCAATTGAAGTTTGGGGACCAACGAATTACATGAAAATTTCGAGAACTTGAAGATAGTAATGCAACTTATAAATTTTCGAATAATCCAGTTGTCGAAATCCACTATCCAAGTTTTGAGACTTTTTCGACGAAGTATCTTTTTTTTGTGTGTGTCTATCTTGAAAAGTTTCGAACCTTTGAGTTATGTTATATTTTGGTATTTCATTAGCCAATACAAGTGAAAACTTAAATCATCTTTCCTTATGCATGTCCATTCGAAAGTCCACAGAAAAACTGAAATAATCCATGTCTAACGAGTAGGATTAACCCTAGTTTAGCTTTTGATAAACAAAATAAGGTATATTTTTGGAATAAAAATATGGTGTAAGGTCTATATCAATCAAAAATTAAAACAAAACATACAACGCGTCGTATAAAATTAGATTTGCCTAATTATGAGTTTATGACCAAATCAAATCCTATTCTAACTGCCGATCTCTTTTCATAATAGAGACCCCTCCATTTATTAATGACGGAACCATAGAATTAAAAATACTAAAGCGACTAACACAAATTTAAACTCGAAACTAACCAAAAAATAAACTGTATTATGTCAAGTGTTAACTTTGTTCGTTTAAATAAAGAATATAGATTGACGTATATATATTTTGAAAATGGGCCATGCATGTAATGCAAGTGCTAAACGAAGAAACAAAAATAGAGGCCGAAACGCGGAAAAGAGCTGACAATTTGTAAAGAGTGTGTCTTCCACATGGGGATTAGGTCAATTTCACCATAATTTTCATAGCACTTCAGTGCCCATTGCATGTGGATACATACATATAAGAAAATAACTTTAAAGTTATAAAACTAAAACAAACTAATTTGATTTATTCAAAAACGCTTAATAATAATTTTCTGATCAGCGGATAAAATATTTCAATAAATGCTATAATAGCTAGATTGTATTTTTGGATAGTATGGAAAAAATTCAACGAAACAAATTATAGATGATTTTCAATATCTGTTGGCAATAAGTTTATATGTATTGAACGAAAAAAGAAAAAGATAAGTCACTTTTTTCTGAAGTATTCGCCATAAAACATGGATACAAATGTTGGTGACGACAATTTATGCTATTTCAGTCCACCTTTTTGTCCATATTTGGGCCTTAGAAGTAAGGTCTGCTTTACATTTTAAGAAATCTGTGTATAGAGCCAAGATGGGCTTTAAAAATAGATATGTATAGGGGCTTGTCTGAAGTAATCCAGAGTTGCATGTTGTTGGACCTAGTAGTTTTTTGGGGAAAAAATAATAAACCACAAGCTTGCATATGCTTCGCATATTAGAATTTTTTTTAGTTATCAATGGTAAATGTTTGAGATGCTTTTTGGCCATTCTATTTACGTTCCATGTCCTCATCCATATCTTTATAAAATCGATTTTATCTGTAACTTCCATTTAAGGCTTTTAACGTTTTGTTAACAGCTAAATTTTTGAATAAAAAGAAGTAACCTCGCATTTTTCTCTTTTATACTGCAAAGAACATAGATACAAGTTACAACTACTCCCTCCGTTTTCGAATAGTTGTCGTTTTAGAGAATTTTTTTTGTTTTTAATTAGTTATCGTTTTCAGTTTTCGATGCAAAATTTATTACTTTTTTATTTTTTATATTTATTTTTATTATGCAACTTGATTTACTATTGGTTAAATTATGTTTAGGTAGATAATTAATAATATTTTTATATTGAAAAACTAACAACATTAATAGTTTCTTAATTTGTGTGCATATAGTTAAAACGACAACTATTCGAAAACGGAGGGAGTATTACTAATAAAAACGTTGCTACTTTGTTGGTTGGGATTTATTAGTTTTAGCCAACTAATTTCATCAAATGCTGTACCAGTTGGGTTTACCGTTTCCACTAATACAGTTAATTCTAAAAACTATAGTATTAAAGTTTCGCAAGCTTGGTTTTGATCACTATGAATATCCGAGCAGATGTTGGTTTTGGTTCACCTTTCACCTTTCACCTTTCACCTTTCACCTTACACAAAAAGGAGCCGGTCTTGGAGAAATTGTTTGTTGCCATGCCCATGTGTAATCCGACAAAACGTTTTATAGACCTTTCTTTTCTCTGTCTACAAGAACCCATTCTTGGGAAATGAATTATGGGGGCAACTGGCAAGCATTTATATTCATTGAAGTTACTTATATTTTCTTTTTAATACGGATATTACACGTAGCCATATCATTGGGTTGGAATTAATGACTGAGAAAGAATGGATGAATGAGAGAGACGTGTACTCGCATGTAGACCATATAAACCACACAGGTGAACAATTTTATTTGGAATCGTATATTCGTATCCATAAATAATATCTATTCCATTTTTTATTTGATATTGTAGGATAAAAAATTTATTTTAAAATAGATGATGTTTTCAATATTTAATAAAAAAATTGATTATATTTTATTGGTTGTGACGATTAATATTATACAGATTATTTTATCATTGGTTAAATCGTGTTAAATAAATAAGAAATGATTTTTAATTAAAAAAAATTAACGGATGTACAAATATCTTAAACATCAAAAATTAAAAAACAGCATAAATATTACTAATTTTTTAACAATACATATCCTAATACAATTGCTTTAACAACTACCAACTTTGTGGCGGACCAACAATTTAAAGAGGGGGGTGGGTATAACTGGCCGGTAAAACCATAATTTTGTGTTGGCCATTGTAAAAAATGAGTTTTTGGCATGTTTGGTTGTGTTTGGCCATGACATATTTTTTTCCAATTTGATAAATCTGAAAGATTATTTTCCTTAAACGATACTATTAATAAACAGTTTCCTTTTTATGGAACAAAATTTTCTTTTTGTCTTCACTATGAAAACAATTTCTACGTTATTTTTTTGTTCTATAGTTTAAGCAAATTAGTTTTCATAAATTAAAATACACTACTCCATTTGTTATATTTTGTTAGATGTTTTGGCTAAAACCACATATATTAAAAATAATAATAATTTTTTTTTACAAAAATTCAACCAGTAAGAAAAATACTGCATAATATCTTTATATATAAAAATTTGAAATCTTATAAAATGAAACAAATGAAGAAAGCTTAAAACATAATATATATTGGGACAGAAGAAATATTTTCTATGTAGAGTATTGAACTTATATCCATGAGCAAATGTGTGGTACATAAATTAGATAACATTGATATTAAACTAATCACATATATTTAAATGATATCTTGTAGAAAAAACTATACACGTAAATTAAAAAGTTAATTATGATATATTAGAAATTTACAATAAAGTGATACATAATTTTTTTAACAATCTTTGACTGAAATTAATAAGAAGGAAAGAAATTTTATAACCTTTTTAATGAGAGACGTGGACTCTCTCGATAGAAATGATACAATGATTAACATAAAAATTTGTAACTGTCATTAGCCGTCACTCGCTACCCTCGAAAATACCTATTTACACTTTACACAACACTAGCCACACACATCCTCAAGCGATAACACCAACAACAAAACAACAAACAAAAAAAAAAAAAACAGAGAGAGAGAGAGAGCAAATCTCCATCATGGACTCGTCTCAAAACGACGGCGTATACCAACCGCTTCTCCATCCTCAACCATCTCCACCTACGACGGAATCAAGCAACGGAGAGCTAGAAACCGTCCTCTCCGACGTCGAAACTCCTCTGTTTCTCCGCCTACGTAAAGCCACCACAATCGAATCAAAACTTCTCTTTAACCTCGCTGCACCAGCCGTCATCGTCTACATGATTAACTATCTCATGTCCATGTCCACTCAAATCTTCTCCGGCCATCTCGGTAACCTTGAACTCGCCGCCGCTTCTCTTGGTAACACCGGTATCCAAGTCTTCGCTTATGGTCTCATGGTAACAACAAAAACCCCACAATATCAAAAACTCCATTTCTTGTATATATTATACGTTTTTTTATATATATATGAATGTTAAAAGTTTTATACCATTTTCATGTATATCCTATGTTTTTTTATTTTTTATTTATTCGAGTTTTTTTTTTGTCGAATTCAATAGCTAGGCATGGGGAGTGCAGTGGAGACGTTATGTGGTCAAGCATATGGTGGTCGAAAATACGATATGCTTGGAGTTTATCTCCAAAGATCGACCGTATTACTAACTCTCACCGGCCTCCTCCTTACCTTAATCTACGTTTTCTCCGAACCAATCCTTCTCTTTCTCGGTGAATCTCCCGCAATCGCTTCCGCGGCATCGCTCTTCGTATACGGTCTTATCCCTCAAATCTTTGCCTACGCAGCGAACTTTCCTATCCAAAAATTCCTCCAATCTCAAAGCATAGTAGCTCCAAGTGCTTATATCTCAACGGCTACACTCTTTGTTCACCTTCTTTTAAGTTGGCTCGCGGTTTACAAGCTTGGTATGGGACTTCTTGGTGCGTCGCTTGTGCTTAGCTTGTCGTGGTGGATTATTGTTGTGGCTCAGTTTGTTTATATTGTTACGAGTGAGAGGTGTCGTGAGACGTGGAGAGGTTTTAGTGTTCAAGCTTTCTCAGGTTTATGGAGTTTCTTTAAACTTTCTGCTGCCTCCGCCGTGATGCTTTGCCTTGAGACTTGGTATTTTCAGATTCTCGTTCTTCTCGCCGGACTTCTCGAGAATCCTGAACTTGCTCTTGATTCACTCTCTATTTGGTAAGTCCTCTCTATTTGGTAAGACCTATTTTTAGTCAAACTATATTGATTATTTCCTTTTTAAAGTTATTTTACTATTGATTTCGTTTACTAAATTACTTTTACCTCTTGACCAATAATAAATAGTAGTACTAATTAATTTACCTATTTTCTAGTGTTTTGTTCGCTATTTTAATTTTACCTATTCTAACTTAAAAAAAAAAAATATCATTTTACATATTCTAGTTATAAATAGCAAAATAGTAAATACTCACATCGTTCCTAAAAGAGTGATGTTTTGAGTTTAACATACAAATTAAAAAAAGTAACTTATATATTTTTTTATTATTATTTTCTTAGTTTTATAATATTAATTTTATTTCTCTCTTTTTTTTCTATTGGTCACAAACAAAAATAATAATGATATTTTTACAGAACATCAAACTTAGTGGAACAAGTAAAAAACTCAAAACATCAAATAATTAGGAATAGAGGGAGTAGATTTTTTTTTTTTTGGTAAAAGAGGGAGTAGATTTTATAGATAGAGAAAATTTAGTTTCCTCATAAGATAAAGAGACTATAATTTATTATTTGTCGTCCACCTATAGTATTTTATTTTATGCTTTATCATAGTTAGTAGTTATTGGTTTAAGAAAACACATTCCTATATCGTGAAACTCCACGTGAATATGTATGATTATAGACTTTTCTGATCAACTATTCTAAAACTTTTAGCATTATTATTATTCGATATGAAAAGCATAGAACCAAACTTTTTGTAGGGAGTACAAAGCAAATTTTGGTTGTAGATATGAAAGTTAAGTTAATGGCGAACAAATTTGACACTTCTTCCGCTACAGACATAATTTATGGTCACATCACATTTCTTCTTTTTAATCTTCGTCTTTTGTTTTTTTGGCATTTGTTTTGTCTTCTTCTGAAGTAGTAGAATTTAACTTTTATAATTTCTATATGACCATTTAATTATGAAATTATCTATATTTCTTCGTCCAATCTGCATCTACTTCTTTATTTTAATTTCTCGAAGATATTATACAATATTCTGTCTACTAATTAATTAAAGATTTTTCTGATAGTATTGATTTCTGGGAGTCGTACTAGATTTTTTAGTTTTTCTAAAAGTTCTGTTTTCTCTATTACCAAACAGCAGCAGCCACTAAATTTAGGTACTTGCACCAAATCAGTATCGAATTCCCTTCTTTATAAAATATAATATCTTGATCTTTTCATGTCAAGTCAAAAAGTTGCAATTTTATAATGTTGTATAAACGTTACAAGCAACGATAGTTTCATACTAGCTTTGCTTTTGTACGATATTAAAGTATTTGTTTTGTGTTTCAGCATGACGATTTCAGGGTGGGTGTTCATGATATCTGTTGGATTTAATGCAGCGATAAGGTCTGTTTTGTCCCAGCTCACCACTCGTTTTCACTAAATTTAAATTGTATAAATTCGAAAATGTCTCTATCCAATTTATCTAGCCCCCTAAAAAAGGATTCTAACGATTTACACACTTAAACAATGCTAAACCATACTGAACCATGAGCTCTTTTTTGTCCTATTAAATCTGACCTAGTGTGACAAAAATTGTGTTATGATGTTGATACAGTGTAAGAGTGAGCAATGAACTTGGAGCAGGGAACCCTAAATCAGCAGCTTTTTCTGTAATCATCGTTAACATTTATTCGTTAATCACTAGTGTGATCTTAGCCATTGTTATTTTGGCGTGCCGCGATGTTTTAAGCTATGCCTTCACTGAGGGTAAAGAAGTCTCGGACGCTGTCTCTGATCTATGTCCGCTTCTTGCTGTAACGCTTGTCCTTAACGGAATCCAACCTGTGCTCTCTGGTAAGTCCTTCTGATACATACACCCGATTTCGCAACCCGAAAAGGAGGAGAAAGTTCTATTTTTCAACAATTGTGAATTTTTTTTTTATTATAGGTGTGGCGGTTGGATGCGGTTGGCAAACGTTTGTGGCGAAAGTTAACGTTGGATGTTACTACATTATTGGAATTCCTCTTGGAGCTCTCTTTGGGTTTTACTTTAACTTTGGTGCCAAGGCAAGATAGTTTTCTTGACTTTCATTTCAATTAGATAGTTACCATTTACAAATTATTCATGTATTTAAATATCAGACTAATTAAAAGGCTAATGATCACGTTTTATATTTGTTGATGTTATAGGGTATATGGACGGGGATGATTGGTGGTACGGTTATACAAACGTTTATTTTGGCGTGGGTCACGTTTAGAACAGATTGGACAAAAGAAGTACGTTTGCTAAAACATTTCAGCTGCCGAATAGGCGCTAAGCGTTTACGATAGTAATCTATATTTTCATTGATTTGATAGTCTTGAAGAATGATTGGATGTTATGTTTGTTTCAGGTGGTAGAAGCTTCCAAAAGGTTGGACAAATGGAGCAACAAGAAACAAGAAGTTGTTCCTGAATGATCATGCAAGTCGATGGAAGTTTGGTATCCAATGAACCGATTAGATTTTCATCGGCTAACCGATGCAAAAGCTCATATTAGCCTGTGAGGCGTGAGCTGGTAATAAAGGATATGGATCTACCTTTTAAACTTCTACAACTCGATTTTAAGCTTTTTGTGTTCTTGTTTTAAAGATTACACAGGTAGGTTATGTATATTTGTATGCCAAATTAAAATAGTTATTGCTTTACTGTTATTGATTTATATATGCCTGTCTTGGATTGGATAGATCTTAGTTACTTTTGTTACATATTAATTTTAAAAAAGTTAATGATGTTTTGTTAGATTGGAAGGCATTCGAATTTTCTCTCTTTCAATGTGCTGTATTTTTTCATTTTTGTTGTTGTTGAGAAATGGGCCTAAGTAAACTGAAATTAGTATCAACATGATGGGCCTAAGTAAACTGAAATTAGTATCAAACAAAGTGACCACAGAGAAACTTTGGAGTTAATGTGATTCGATATCTGGCATAGTTCTAAAGAAATAAGTATTTGTAAATTTGTATTAGCTCTATTCTGCTTTAGTTAATGGCCAATTTCTGATGTAAACAAAGTAAAACAATTGCTTACCTAACTCATCTATGACATTTTTATAAAAGCCATATTCATCGTGGTTAATAAAAATAAAGAAAACGATTGTAAGAACTTCTAAATCTCTTATAAGCTACTAGACGAGAAGTCATTTTTGTTTCATAAAGTTAAGGAAAGAAATTCCTCATGGAAAGGAAAAAATGAAAAGAAGAAGAGAAATTCTAGATACTTTTTCTTTTCATTATCTCATGAAACCATACAACCAAAGCCAATAATGGCCGTCACGTTATATCTGTGCCATTTTCTGTCAACACATTTAAGCCTTATTTATTCTTTTGTTGATTCAGACAAAATTAGACATTCGTTTGTTAAATAAATAAAAATTTCTCAAAACAATTTTCTAAGTATACATAAACTAATGGTATATATTGAAATTTTTGTAAATTTGTATCCACGACATACAATAAATTCATCCTTTTCTTTTTAACAGTATTAGATCTAAAAAAAAAAAAAACTTTTGATACTAATCTGAAATCCTTTGGAACGTTAGCCAATGATGGTTAAAGACGTAGTTATTTGATTTTGAAAGTATATAACTATATATGTAAGACTTTAGTAATCGTATAAATCATTTTAAATCAAAAAAAGTTAGCAGCCATTATACGATAGTGCATTTTGGTTTTAGTTTTAAAAGAAACAGTGGTCGGAGACATGTCTTTATTAGGCCTCTCTTTCCTTTTAACGTGTGTCTTAAATTCACGTGGGTCTCAATAATTAACTCAAACTATTCCTACCAAAAAATAATTAACTCAAACTATCATCATTTGAACCAGCAATTTTTAAACCGAATTAAATCAGCACCATTTGATTCTCCAAATGTATGATTTATTTATAGTCACAATATTTGATTATGTCGAGAGAATATTGAACCTTGTTTTCAATATAACTTCAACTTGTGATTTCAATATCTTGAAATTATGGGAAGAACCCCAAATTTGTGTAATCATCCAAAAACATGGCTCACATGTGGTGGGTACATGAAGACACACATCATCATTGTATGCTTTCTTGCCAAATCTTAAACTAACTCATTACATTATTTTTTTCAGTAAAATAATATTTAAAACATGATTTAATTTTAGATGTCTTAGATGAATTTGGTTATATCATTTAAAGTTAAAATCATGAAGATAAGTTCTTCTAAATCACCACGATAACATTACAAATCAATTTTTAAATCACTTCTGACTACAGTAAATGTGAATGTACTTTTTCAAATCACTAGCTTAATAAACCTTGAATTATAAAGGACAATTACAATCAGATTCTATCTGAACCATTTAACCTGAATTTCCAGTCACTACTCCGGTTAGGTTTAAAAATATTGGTTAGTACTTAGTAGTATTTAGGTTTTGAATAGATAATGTGCGCCAAACGGACTAAAACACTAACAAAATATACCACTTAATTTTTGAAACAAACGATAATTTATATCTATATAAAGCACTAACAAAATATACCGTTTCATAGTTGATTTGCAACGAATATCTTTAAGTATATTTTTGATTTGCATCACTACAAACTATAATATATAAACGATATAAACTAAAACAATTCAATTCACAAACGATTTTGTCCGCCCTATCCACCGCCATCATTCAGACATGGTAGTATTAAATTTGTCAACATAATCAAACTAAAAAAATCTAGAAACTTTGCATACAATGCAAGCACGTAATACATGACTGATTGATACGTCTTTTTCGTACAAAATTTCATAGGTCAACTTATAGCCCCAAATTCTCTATGTATGTATGTGGTCATCACATCTCACCAGAAAAGTTCGTTGCGCTCAAATTTTCAAATCCCAAAAATCAAACAAAAATAGTAAAATTAATAAAAAAAAAATGTTTTAATAAGTTGTCGTCTCTTCCGAAAAAAAGGAAGAAACACAGAAAAGCTAAAGCTTCGGCATTATGTATTGATCAAATCTCTCTCTCTCTCTCTCCTTTCCTTTTTCTTCCATGGCCAAAATGGATCCAAGCAGCTTCTCTTTGGCCATCTCTTCTTCTTCTTGAAGCTGCTTCTTCCTCCAATTTTTCCAGATTCTCCTCTCCTTCTTCTTCCTTCTTCCTTATTTCGATTTCGATTTTGAAAATTTATTTTGAGAAAAACAAAAATGGCTCAATCGTGTCTTAAAATTGTTCGAATCAACAATCTAAGGAACAGAGTGAATCGTCGGATTTTGATTCTCCGACGATTCACACGGTTGTTATGGAGTAGAATCGTTGCTTGTACTCCTGGCAAATCTCGGAGATATCTCTTGCTTTCTCGCGCTGTTCCGTCTCCGACTGTTTCTCGTCCTTCTCCTCCTCCTCCAATCCCCGCCGTGGATGTCGATGTCGTCGTCGTCGGTGGTGGTGGTGAGTTCGTTCGTCGTTCATCGGTTGTCTACGACAACGATAACAGTCATCGGAGATCGGATTCTGATTTGGTTTCTTTGAAGATCAGCCTCTTAGGAGATCCAGAAATCGGAAAAACTAGCTTCCTGGTAAGATTTTTCGAATCAACATCTCTCTTTACTATTTTGAATTACGTTAGATTTTGGTTCGAGTGTTGTTTGGGAAGGGACCATATAAAATGCTCTGGTCCTGGCCTGGAAGGATGTACGGGCTTAGGCCTAGAACCTCTTAATTAGTTATTAAAAAAAAAATTAATTTGGGAATTTGATTGAAGGCGAAATATGTTGGAGAAGAGAAAGGAGTGGAAATGAGAGAATTGGAGAAAGGGATAAATTGTACGGACAAGACGTTATACATGGGAGGTGCTCGCATTTCATATAGTATCTGGGACTTAGAAGGTAATTAACATTGCTATTATTGTTGTTAATCCACATTTAGCAGGAATTGATGATGTGAAGATTAATTAACTTTTTTTTTTATATAGGAGCTGAGAGATCACGAGATCAAATCCCTGTGGCTTGCAAGGACTCTGTTGCTATTCTCTTTATGTTTGATCTTACCAGTCGTTGCACGCTTAATAGTGTCATTAGCTGGTATCAACAAGCTAGGAAGTCTAATCAGGTAAATCACTCAAGCATATCACTATCATTGCCATATTTGTCTCTTTGTAAAAGTCTTGTTGCGTGGAAGTTGGGGTCCATTGGTTACGACTGTGACATATATTTTGGCTTAGGCATAGACAATAACAAAAATATGAACTAAAAGTCTGATTGGAAAAAAAGTTACTGTTGAGCACTTTAAAGGTAGTGCCAAGAGTTCGAGTTTTAAATCCAAAAAACTCACAACTGAATGATAAAACAGAATTTGGTCTGTTTAAATGTTTTTGTCTAAGATCAAATGTTATGTTTTGATAAGCTAAACACACTGATATGCAGACGGCAATACCAGTTATGGTAGGAACCAAGTTTGATGAGTTTATTCAGCTTCCTATTGATCTGCAATGGACAATTGCTAGCCAGGTAATTTTTTAAAAAAAATATTTTTAGAGTCATATGAATTAGAGATTCATAAACAAATGACAAATCCATATACATTGAACTCAAGTTAACCAAATTTACATTGTGTTAAACCAAAAAAAAAAAAAAAATTTACATTGTGAATGTTTGTTTGAATAGGCGAGAACATATGCGAAGGCTTTAAACGCGACACTCTTCTTCTCGAGTGCTTCATACAACATAAACGTGAATAAGATCTTCAAGTTTGTGACGGCGAAGCTCTTCGACTTACCTTGGACAGTGGAGCGTAATCTCACAATTGGAGAACCAATCATCGACTTCTAGAATATGTATTTGTATATAATATAAAAGAAGCGAACCCGAAGAAAGCGTTTTGTTTTTTTCAATTCACCGCCAAAGCTTGTCGCCGTGGGACTGATCGGACCACAGTTTCTAGTCGTATTTAAGCGAAATGGAGAGATGAAGCGGCGGAGATTTCGCCCGCTTTCTCCATTATTATCTGTTTCATTTTAAGCAAACAAACAAAAAAAGAAAAAAAAAAAAACAGAGAGGTAATGGTTTCGAGAGGTAGAAACGCAAGAAAAAACAACAAAGAAAAGAGGAGATCGTGAAATGTTTTTCTTTTATTTCTTTTGGTTTTGTAATTTTTTCTCTTTCGATGACCACTGGAGATTTTTGGTCCAGTAAATTCTAAATAGTAAATACCATTTCGCTTTGAGTATTAACGTGAGATCTAATTTTGTTCACATCTACACAGTCTCAAGCCCTGTTCTAAAAATCCCCGCCTAGACCCGATTACTCCCCGCTTAATCGCTAGGCCCACCCTATCCGCCTCGATTAATGACTAATCCCTTAAAGAAATCAGTCACCCGATTACTCTCCGCCTAATCCGATTATTCCCCGCCTAATCCGATTATTCTCCGCTTAATCTTACATACCCCGATTATTTTTAGATTGCCAGTATAAAAAAACTTTTTATTTTTGTTATTCAATCATTTGAATTGGGAGTTTGTAATGTTTTACAATAATTTATGTTCATATTTTAATAAAAATCATAAATATTTGTCTCAAAAATACATTTTTATGTGTTTACTGCAATTTTAAAAATAATATTGGATTAATATGTTTTAAAAATATTAAAATAACCCTAAAACTAATCCCCGATTAATCCCCGATTTTAATCCGATTTTCCGATTAATCGCTAGGCCCATGCCGAGCGCCCGACTAGCGCCTAGCGATTTTTCAAACAAGGGTCTCAAGTGAGTGAGTGTCCAAAAGTTAGGGTTTTCTTGCATACTGAAGAATTTCAAATAAATTTTTAAAAAATAATCCAATAGCATGTTTGGGTTTTATTTATGGACATATCACTTTTTGTACTGTGACGTTTTGATATTTCCAAAAGTCGAAGAATCTAACAGAAACACATGCAAAAATTGTTGCAATGTGACGTGCTTTGACTAATTTAGACACATATTTGATTTGTAATATACGTCTATAAATGTCCATAAACGTATTCACTGACGACGCCCATGAATATGCAAAAGCTATTTTTATTAGTGTTGATAATATAGGTCTATCAGTTATGCACTTTTATCGTCATTTTAATTTTCAGAATAAAAAAGATTATTCGGTTTTTTTACTAGAACTGTTAGAGATTCAAAAAAAATGTTAGTTTCCCAATTAAGTTTTTCAAAAGAGCTATTTTGCGAAATAAAAACTTCAAGATATATTATCTCAAGATTTTAAAATTGTCTGTCTATATAAAAATGTGTCTTCCGGAGATGTGCCTTTAGTCAAGTGGTTAAGTCCACTTGACTCCGCCTTCTCCACCGGAGTTCGACTCCAGTAAATCGCGTTACCCCGCGTAGTAGGAATTGGCTATGGATCGGGCCTTGTCGATCCAAAGATGTCAAAAAAAAAAAAAAAAAAAATGTGTCTTCATTTTAAGAGATGATGTCAATTCATTTGAGGATAAAAGAGGATTCAAAACGAAAATTCAGAAAGTCAATGAAATTATTAAGAATTGCGTTGTAGCTTAGCTTCCTTCCAAAAAATAGTCATATGTGTACTTAACTGCTCCAGTTTAAACGGCCAACAAAATCAGTTACAGTTTTTGTAATATCGAGATCTCATTGTATTCCATTTTCACATGCTTCGTCATGTTTGTGCTCATGCAAATCCAATAGTTTCTTCTTTCTAGTGTTACTTATCATTTTGTAACGGTAAAAAAAAAGAAAGAAAAAGGGTCTTTACTAGGCTTTAAGTTTCACGCAACATCATTCAAAAGTGGTTAAGTTCAACGACAAAACATTGCTCTTCCCTTCTTTCATTTTGGTTTGTATTCAGGTTAGCTAAAAATTAATAATAAAAAAAAAATCAAACCTTAAAGATTTTGGGTTTAACTATTTAATCATTTGTTAAAGTTTTAAACAAATAGCCACATCAAGAAGACGTTATCTCTAGAAGACTTATTTGTCATAGCGCAACCGACCGTTTCATATTACTTTTCACACTGACAAACACTTTATGGATTGTATTTTTTTATTTAGAAAATTCGTTTTTCTGTTCATCGTGGTTTAGTGTTGTTTTGTCTATGTTTGTTCGATCATCATAAAATCATTTTACATAATGTAAAATAGTCAGTATACTAATACTACCATTATTTGTTTATCTCATTCAATATTCTTAACTTGCATAAATAAATTTGCTCGAAAGCAATGTCTCAACTAAGTATAAATCAATGCCTGAAAAATCAACGATAAATTGGGCCAAATCCCATCTAAGCTTAATAACGGGTCAAACAAACGTCATGGAAAATAAATAAAACAATACAAATCTTAAGTTTAACAATATGCTAATTTTGAAAAGGAAAAAAATGTAGTTTTCGTTTCTACTAAATTGTATTATTATTATCCACTCATATCGATCAGCCTAAGCACCTAAATCCACGCTTTTGATACATATATGAAAATAATATTCTTTAATTTTTGAAACAACATTTCACTTTACATAAAAATTATCAGTTATGTTGACATTTTTCTAAAGATAGGTTAAGGTCCATACACTGCTTTAGAAGTCCGTCGTTGGCTTTAGGTATTCTATAAATAATTTGGATCAACGCATTGGGACCCATGTGATGACCACATCAAGATTCCGATTGTTATCTCTCCAATTAATTTTATTTTGCTTTTTTTAATACACCATGGAAAATTAGCGACTTTCTTATATATACATACATAACGCAACCACTTAAGGATTATTCCATTTTTATTTGGCTTATTCCCTCTCTACATGATGGATACATTCTCTTGTAATTCTTATGAACAAAACCACCCACATGATGATGATATTGATATTGATGCTCATGATCATGATTCTCATGGTGGTGATCATCAAGAGGAGAGTGGATGGACAACTTATCTTGATGATTTCTCAAATCAATACAGAACTACTCATCATGAAGAAAGTGATCATCAAGAAAAGAGTTCTTGTTCACTTCTTGGCGCCTCTACTTCCCTGGTCTCTGACGCCGCCACCCATGCCTTTTCCGGCAAGAGTTTTCCCGTTAATTTTCCGGCAAATTTGAAGTTTGGGAGGGGAAGAACCAAAAAGATTTGTGAGGATGATTCTCTGGAGGACACGGCTAGCTCTCCTGTCAACAGCCCTAAGGTTAGATACTACTTCATTAACACAATCAACTTAAAACCTGATCCATGATTGGAATTCTATACCATAAGAATCTTTCTAAGTTTTAATTTAGGTTGTAAGATATAAGTGATTAATTATCACCTAATTGTCTCCAATAATTAGTTTCTTTTATTTTTTATTTTTTATTTTTTATTTTTTATTTCTCCCTTTGTGGTAGTTAGAGCATGTGTAATTTTTATATGAATGATATTGAACAGGTCAGTCAGTTTGAACATATTCAGACGCCTCCTAGAAAAATTGAGGACTATGTCTCTTCTAGTTTCGTTATGGTAATCTCTCTAACTCTCTTTCCGACACAAATTATCTCTTTGAAATTCATTAATAATTAATCCATAAGGAAAAGATTGAGAAGTTTTCCTTTTGCATAGTATATTAAAAATAGACTTGGTTGTGTATTATTGTCTATTGATAACTCAATATTTATTTTTTTAGTTATAAGGAAGTTTCAATGATCTTTTAGTAGTAATAATGTTTACACTCTATAATATTTGATAGATATAACACGTAAATATGTTTTTGAAACGGTTACGATAGGGAAATATTAGAGGCATGAGGGATCATCAAATCCAAATACAAGAAGGTGATGAACAAAAAATGACGCTGATGAGAAATCTCATTGAAGAAAACAACAACAACAACAACAACAATAACAATAACAATATGGATTTGAGGAGTAGAGGATTATGCGTCGTCCCTATCTCCATGTTGGCTAATTTTAACGGTCGCTGCTGAATAATGATAATCAATTCTGTAAACATCCTTAATTAACTATATAAACCCTTGTAAATTTGGTGGTGTTTATATCCGTACCCATCTTGTATATATGTACTTGATGTGTGTATATATATATATATATATGTACATCTTGATGGGTATGTGCTTAATTACATATGTATAGCTTTTGTGTACATGTATAAAACACATCGGTGGATATGTGTGAAGTATACAACGTCTATGTTTGTAAACATTTCTAAGAGCTACTATATCATAAGCTATATGAAACTTTTCTAAATACACACATGATTATTTATAGAGATCCCTTTTTTACATCTCTAAAAGTTTGAGAGATTTAAAAAAAAAGAACAAGTTAGAGAGATTTTTTTTTTGTTGGTATAATATAAAGTTTGAAAGATTACGCACAGCTAGAAAATGAAAATATTGATTATGGATGATAATAACCACAGCTAGAAGTTCGCTTATTGTAGATATGATAATATTATACTATGAGTTAAATTAAAGTCTACACAGAAAGTTTGTACAATATCCATTGTTTTTTTTTTTTTTTTGATGATTAGAAATATTGGCGGCCAATTAAATCTATCTGTCTCACTAATTTATTAGTATTAGACAGGCACATTAATCAAAAATATATTTATGGTTTACATATTAATTACCATTTGACCAAATGTTTAGCATACTATTTATATAAACTCTTAGCCGTCCCAGCTTCAAACATAAAGCTACAAGATATATTTAATCTATTCTGAGTTTCTGAGCTAATATGTTACAAGAGTAATTAATAACCAGATCAAATAACACTATCCATATACTCCCTCCGTTTCATTTTAGTTATCGTTTAAGGTTTTTTCACACAAATTAAGAAAAGCATTAAATTTTTTGTTTTACCTTTAATTAATATATATTTTATAAAAAATTTCATTGACCACAACATTAAAACAATAGGGATAATACTGAAATTTTTACCAAACATTTGCATTGAAAACCTAAAACGACAACTAAAACGAAACAAAATTTAAGTCCTAAAACGACAACTAATACGAAACGGAAGGAGGATTATGTATGCATATCATATAAGTCATACTCCCTCTGTTTCAAAATATAGGATGTGTAAGTTAAAAGTATATACTTTAAGAAATTCATTCTTGTTTTTAAAACCATTACATAATATTTAATTTTTAAAAATCCAACCAATGATATAAAAGACTGCAGAATACAAATGATGATAACACATCAAATGCATTTAAATGCTGCATAGAATTGTGTAAAACATCTTAAAACCTCTAATATTTTGAAACAAAAAAAAAATCTCTAAAACATCCTATATTTTGAAACAAAGGGAGTATTATATACTCCCTCTGTTCATATTTCCTAAAACGTTTATGTTCTACTTTTTGTTGTTTGTTCCACAAAGATTGATTTTCTAGCATTTATTTTTATTTTTATTGACTTATAATAGTAAATTGTAAACTTCAAGATACAATGATTATAAATCACTATTGATTGATAATTATTTAAAATATTTAAGAGTAAAAATAAGATTAAAATGATTAAACAATGATTGAGTTATTAATATGTGTAAAAACTTCAAAACATCAAACTATTAGGAACAAATGAAGTACTGTATATATTAGAGTTGCTTGAAGAAATCATAGACTTTCTTCGTTTTCATTTTATTATTTTCAAAATTATTTATAGGTTAAGGCATCTCTAGATTTGGCTAAAATTAAGAATGGAGGTCAAATTCAGATGTATTAAAAATTTATATTCGCCAAACCTTCGTGTTAGGTGATCGATCAAGTCCTCGCCAATAATTATCTCTTATTGTACAATAAACTAATAGAAAGCATCTGAAACCAAAAAAAAAAAAATCCATCCGAATATACAAACAAATCCGTTTTGGTCTTTAATCAAAGATATTAGATGTTCTCAATTTAGTTCTGAAACGTGTTAGTTTAAGTGTCTTATCAAATCGGTTATGACTAGACGTAATAGAAATTGCTGATTAAAATGAATTTTATATTTAATTAGTTCCTTTCAATATTGATTAAGAAGCTTTAATTATCGTTTTGCAAGTTATAAAAAAGGACATCAGTTAAGAGTTTCATTTTATTTTTTTTGGTTTCATATTTTAGAGGAAATTTTTCTTTTTGAATGTTAGTATTCTATAATTTCCCAGCTGCTCTACATGCTCGAAGAGCTCAATATGATAACTGAACAGTAGATAATAACAAAATTAATTAGTCCTAAAAATTTAATAAAGGTAAAAGATAAATTATTCGAGGCTGTATGATTGATCAGAGATTCCTACACTTCCAAGAAAATTAAAATATTTACGAACTATCGGAGAAAGCAACCTAGCTTAAATCTCATCTTCAATGCCAAATCAGATCCGTAAGAATCTCATCAAGAATTCATTAATTTTTTCTTCTCTTTTTTCTTTTGGTCTTCAATGATAAAATGATTGATGTTTGCCATTTAGGGTTTTGGACGAGAAATATAAATATCTTGCTTGCTTAAAATTCTAAAATTATTTGTCTACAAATATTATTGTGAATCCGTATGTATGTATAGACATGCATATACGTTACTTATGTATGTAGTCTGTAAAAATAATTAAATTAAATTTAGCTATTTAAGAAGGATGTATAATTCTTACAGTGAATGTGTCTAAAACTTTGATCGAGTAACATTCGGAGATGTTGCTTCTGAGACGCAATGTCCGTTGTCAAAGACAAGGCATGTTGCATATTTTAAGACACGTCTTTAAATTGCCGGCTTCATATGTATATTTAATAATCAAAGAATTCTAAACCGAAAAGTTTAACCTAATCCTCAAAATTTTATGAAATACACGTATACTTTATTCTTAAAAACATTTACGACAAATATGTAATTAAAAGGACAAAGAATGAAAGAAGGAATATAACGCGTGATTGCCGGGCGGGGAATTTAGTTGGGATTACGATGGTCCAACGTATGGGATTAGGACCCACTTGATATCGCAATCAAAAGTTAATGATCTCCCTAATCTGTCAAATTATGTTATTTAATCCCATGTGCAAAGTACCCAATTCCTTGCTTTATTGTCAAATGTTGATTCCGTTTACATTCGACAAATCAATGTATCCAATAACAAAATGGAACGGTACAATTTTCAATTTTTGATTCATGGTTTTTTTTTGTCATGTCAATACAACAACCGACTATATCCACCTCTACTGTTTTGGTATTTTTTATAGACTTTAATTTCGAGTAATAACTCATTATTCAAAAAAAAAAAAAAAAAAAAAACTCATTATTCAAAATGAAATATATTTAATTCCCACCGATTACACTGAACAACATGAATCCATTGGTACCTCATACAGTCATACACAATATATACTTGTTAAACAATATAAATTGCGTCTCCACGTTAGATTGAAATTGTATAAGGCATTAGGACGTAATATGGTAGATAAACGATAAACGGCACTAAATCTAAAATGTATGCGAATAAATAGTGAAATATATATAATCTGCTCGTTGGTTTGATCCGTTATTTTCCTCATTTGCTCATGTAAGACAAACAACAAGAAAGAATTAAAAAATTATATGGCTTTTTGTTACTGACTTACGAAAATAAAAATCAAAGTTTGAAACGAATCACGAAAAGATATCATATAATTAGATGTCGATTGTTTCATCGCTAACTTATGCATTTGGTTACGATGCATAAGCAATTGTAAAAGAAAGAAAAACATTTGCTTCGGTATGCCGTTTGTGTTTACAATTAAAAGAAAAATTTAATACTAAAAACTGTTGATTTTCAGTCAAAATTACATTAGTATATGTAACAATAAACACAAAGCAAATAGCCCATTAGTTAACTTTGCAGGTTTTTTTCTTTTTTTGATAATGAATGTGATTTAGTAGCGCATGTAAGCATTCGATTTTTTACTATCTATGTCATGGCGGCACAATTAGAAGAAAAGAAAGTTTTCTAGTGTGCAGAAGCAAAACACCTAATTAAAATATCTGACTGGTAGAGTACCATAGTTAGACCAGTACAGATACTGGTCTGGTTTATTTCATCAAGTGTAAGTCATGTGTATCGGTATAGTGGTAAGACTATCCTGTTTAATCAAACAAAATGATAGTACCCTTCGAATGCTGCAACCTTCCTCAACTAGGTTTAAAACTAGATAAGATCAAATTTTGGTTCAACATACAAGAAACTGAATCACGAATAATATAAGAATATCAATCATTATATAACCAGTGCCGATAGGCGATAACACCAAATTCCAAATATCCATACAAAGAAGCAAACCCCATAAAATATTGCCCCAAACCTTTAAACCCAATTATTACGTAGAAGAAGTGAAAACAATAACAAAGATACATTTATTATCTGTTTTTGTCTTTTTTTCTTACTCGGGTGACCAAAGATATAGTATTAAAGATAGTGTGGTTTCCAAGTTTCCCTACGAAGATGCCGCTCTGGCCGCACCTCCGCAATGAACGTATGTCTTACATTCTGGACTTGGCGACCACAAGGCTAGTCCCTTCGCCCATTCCATCAGCTCCCGGCCTTGTCCAACTCTCCTTGAACTGTTCTTCAGTGACACCTATATGTGAGAGAAAAAACAAACATCATTGTTTGAAAGAAAGAAAGTTGGATAAATTAAACCGGAATTTTTTTTCACTACTTAATGCATTTATATTTTCTTCATTAACTATAATAGAAGTGCAACAGAAAAGACGCTTATCACTTGTCTTCAGTCACCGAACAATTATAGTTGGTTGATATAAAGAACGTATCATATGAACATATTTTCATTGTTCTTATATGCCGAATATGTATCATAATACACTCTATGTTCACTAATGTTATGTGTGTGTGCAAATGAAACAAAAAGTAACATACCTTTGCCCATTGCTGCAGTGGAGGAGATTCCACCTTGGACGGTCTTAAGATAACGATCATAGTAATTAGCACCTGACCATTTTTGATGAGCCAAAGTGTCAACCCCATGGGTCCTCTCTTCTCTCTGTATCCTCTCCACATAAGCCAACATCCCTCGTCTCGCGTAATCCTTTGCAAATGTATCAACCACAAGAGCGTCCGCATGGAAACCCGCAAGCGTTATGAACTGCCAACAATATCCGAGCCTAGCAATCCGCGGAATGAACTCCACCATCTGCTGATCCGTCATACCGGAAGCGTCCCAGTTGAAAGACGGCGAGAGATTGTAGGCGAGCATGACCTCCGGTGTCTTGGACTTGATACCTTCT